CTAGGTTTCCCCTTTACTCCCCTTTCCTTTTTTCTTTTTTTTGTCAAGAATTAGGGTTTAAAGGACAGGGGATTCTCTGGGACAATTTACTTTGTTCCCATCAATCTTGGTCAATCTTCTTGTCTTATATTGAAAAATGACTGTTCTATTGTTTGCTTTTCTTGCAGTTTTTGTTGGGCAAATCAATAATTTACTGAAGCCCTAAGAGGCGACTGCTGTTGGGAATATGGGTTATTCAAGCATAAAAATTGAATTGAATAGACAGTTCTGATTTGTTATTTTTACTTCACAAAGGCAACAAAATTTCATTTCTCATATAAAAAGATAATTGTCATGTAACCAAAAAGGGCAAAAGAATAAACAAAATGAAAGTTCCACATTTGTAATACTAAGGTTGAAGTTGACTAACTAGCACAGTACCTGTGTATTGAGGGTTAGAGATATTGTATCAGTTGCCTGATGGCATTCAATATTATGGTTTATTTTCTATAATTTCAACAGCAATATGTCATACTTAAAACTTGTTATTGTGAAAGGTCAAATCCTAAGGGTTTTCAGATAAACTCAATACGAAGCTATTTATGTATTCAAATGCAACAGTAAGCGCTAAATTAGTTTACAGGGGGTTTAGTGTGTCACACATCCCACCTCCAGAGTTTTGAATTAACATTTTATATTTAGTTCTCTCCTTCCAGCATGTTGTCGCTGACATAATTTCCTGACACTATTCCTGGCACTGGGTTTACTGTTGGGCTGCTGACTAAACGAGAGCTCACAATGTAATTTTCCTTGACATTTCCACCGACTTGGAAATGGGCCGTGTGCAACATGCAGCACCTAAGGTCACACACTACTCACTAGAGGGCAGAGTCGTTGAGCTCAAACTCATAACCTCTGGCTGCAGCAGCTCGGACTCCATGGTCAGACCACAGAGCACAGAAGGCATGGGCCACAAAGGGGAGCAGCTCCTGGTCGTCTCCCAGACACTGGCTGCATGCCAGAATCAAAGAGGCATGCACCTGATGCACAGGTACAAGTACAAGTAGTACAAATAGTAGTAAAAGTACAAAGTCATACATTTTCTGATAAATAAGACAACAGATAAACATCTGAAATGCCTCATGGCCATAACAAAGATCAGTAAACTTTTGTCCAAACCATACACGAAATAAATATGTAATCTCATGCATTTCAGAACATGTTTGAGAGGTCTAAACTGCAGTCTTAGCAGTTTTTGAGGATTATAATTTGCTGTTTATAAAAGAAAAAACTTATGTTTACAAAAGTTATGTTTACAAAGTAAGTGCAGTCCTAGAAATATTCATTTCATAAACAAGTTAAAATTAGGCCTCTTTCTTACTTTGGTTGGACGATTATTGTTATATTAATAAGTGACATTACATTATAGTATCCCATTGGTCATCACATTGTAATCGCTCTAGGTAGGACTGCCATCTAGCGTGTCAGGAAGGAACTGCAATACTACATGTGATGAGTATCTGGAAAAGATTTTTATTTTTTTTTACCCCACCTTGTTTTTTTTACTGGCTAGATTTATCCTCAGAATCCCCATGCCCCGGAGGACAAACTTCATTGAGGTGAGGAGGTTGTCGAATACTGCAGGCTGCAAAGACAATTTGTAATTTGTGATTTATTTTTTTCATTTGATTTGAGCTGTAATATTCATTTATGATTTACCTTAAAGCTGATGAGCTCCTGTTTAGAAAAACCCTGACTATGGATTATCTTTATTTGTTTGACCAACGTGCTCTTACCACTCTCAGCTGTCCCTATAAATAAACATGGGTTAAACCTTAAAATTATTTGACATAATTGCAACAACTTTACTTACCAAGAAGAAGAATCTTTATAACATTAGTTTCAGCTTTTGCATGTTTTTGGAGGTCCCGCTCTATTTGTGAGTTTTTCAGTTTCGCCCTTTTCCCCTCTTCAGTGACTCCAGGTTCGAGTCTCATGCACATCTACACACAGAAAGACCAGTAGCCTTTAGTGCTAATTGGCGCATTTGTCCACACTTCTGAAATGTTATGGGAAATGTTGTGGGTATGAGAAAATATCTACCTGCAGTGAGGCCGGAAGGATATTTAAACAGCAGTGCATTGTCGGGTAGATTTTAAGCCAAGCAGTTGCATGAACTTCCCAAAGTGGCCGTGGAGTGTTTGGAGGTGTGGAGCGGGGGCGTGGCCAGCATTAGTGCGCGCTCTCTGCAGCTGCTTGTATGTGTTTTGATGTGATTGTTCAATGATAAATATGTTTTAACAATTATAATAAATCATCATGTTTATTTGTACTTTTCTTGGCCTTTAATTGTTTCTTAAAATAAACCTCAATATTATTCATTCTGAAAATTATAATACTGCATATTAGAATATTTAATGTATTTCTTTGTTATTGTTACTGATGTTTCGTCATATAATCGAATTATTACTTAAAATAAAACAAACAAATGCAATAAAAAGCACATTTCCACTCTCACAGCGTTGACTGTTATTTTTATCAGCAATAATTTGTTGATTATTTTCCCACTGTCATCCTACATGACCCTCACCATACATACTCATTTGACATACATAATAACACATAACACATGAATTCATCTTACGAACATATTTTCAATATCTCCAATCAAAATAGGTGAGAAAAATATGATCTACAAAAAAATATACTTAAAATCCAGTTTCGTATGATACAGAAGTAAATTTGTACAGTTCAAACTTAACAGTTGTCAAGTAAACGTGGCATAGTTTCAGTATGATATACAAGGAATACAATAAAAATACAAAGCTTAACACATTTGAGCTGAGACAATCAGCTGTACTGCTCATGATCTAATGTACAGGATTAAACTGCACTCCTATTATAAGAATGCATAGAGGCTATGTATTTTTTGTTGAAAATTCGGATTAAACAGATAGACCAGAACAATACTGCGCCTATGGATCAGTGTTTAGACTGTCAGTAGTAATTATATACATATAAATTAAATTCTTGCACTTTGCACATTCAAACAACCAAATTGCATGTCCTATCCTCCAAAACCCGAGCTGTCAAGCGTTTATAATACATATAAATACACATGTGAATACACAGTAAAATTACAGTGCTAAAAAGGCAACAAAAGCGCCATATAAACTGTAATGCCTTCATCTTACCACCTGCATAATAACAGCAAGAGAACCTAATCAGAACTCAAAAAAATAACAAGTAGGTTACTTGATTAGTTTCTATTTGTTGAAAATAGAGTTGTACACCTTTATCTGCTATCTTGTGGCTCAAGCGCCTATGTGGTTTATTCAAGTGAGCCCATTGGTACTGCTGCTACAGGAGACATGACCTTGCATATCTGGAACATTATATTAAAAATACAGAGAACCACTTCCAACAGAGACGTCATGTATCTGCTGGTGTGATAATAGACTGCACGGCACTGGTATAAAATGTAAGGACTGCTATCAGTAGATAACTCACATTTGATCAGTATAAGTTCAAATAGATGTGTTTTTCGGGGATGGGTTGACACTTATTTTGACTTGACAGTCTGGGCTCTGCCTTTTACTCTTTTCCTCTTCTTGTCGTTTCATGGCCTGAATGACAGCAATCTCTTTGGCTTCTTTCTTCTGGTTTCTGGCCTCAAACAGCAACCTGAAAAATACAAAAAGGTCTATGAATTCCTCCAGTGACACATCACAAATTATGCTTTGATCAAGTGAATAAATTATTTTATTATTTTTACATTTTACCTATTTTTGATTATTCTCTGCACAATTGCATCAGTTGTAAGGCTGTTCCCACTGTCCACTGTGCGTAAGATTCCCTTTCTTCTAGGTTCCTGAGTTCAAAGTAAAACAATGTCTGCTATTATTAAACACACAAATGCATTTTTCTATCAAAGAAATAGACAGCATGAGTCTTACGGCATAAGGATCAGAGCCATCCTTGGAGGGATATATTTGCGTCTTTCCGTGACAAACTATATCAACCTAAAAGTAAAACATGAATAAGCCTTCTCCTTTACTGTAGATTTGTTATAGAAATAGTATAATGTTATTTACCTTAAAATGATCAAGCAAATCTTTTGTGACAGCAAATGGGGCACCGATCACAACTTCTGATACATACTGTAAAATGTACAAATGTTTATATAGTCAAAGTTGAATCATGTTGTTTTGTGTAAGCCACCTACTCGACACGCCAGGACGCTGAGTGTTCTCTCGTGAATATTCATGATAGGGTAGTTTTTGCCTTTGTACCGATTAACCTCCTGAAAGTAGAGATGTAGGTCAAAATGCTGTCACAGTGTCACAGTAGGCTATTAGCACACAAACAATTAGAGAGTGGACTCTTACTTGATCAAAGTGCAATCCCACTATAATGTATGGCTTGTCTGACAGCTTATGCACTGCTTCCAGAAAATCAACATGCCCAATGTCTAGTAAAGCATGAGATAAGGATTTATTTCTGAAAATGACTTCCTACAGTTGGGTTCACAAGGTCAGTACTGCTTCATGGTTCAAGGATACGGAATAGGTCAAAGGCTCCAGCTACATAGATGATGGTGTCTCCAGGTTGAGGCTCTTGTCCTGAGGCAAACTGGATGATCTTCTGAGAAGTCTGGAGGAACTGTGACACTCCTGTCCAGGGACTGTGGCCCTTATGGGCATGGGACCCCTGAATAGAAAGAAACTATATCAGTATGATCTAATTATTTGTTGACTAAAAGATGTTCTATGAAAATTTTCTTGTGGAGACCTGCTGTCTCACAGAAGATATTAATTCAATACCTACAATATAATACAATTTGGCATTAAATTTCTATATTCTATTGTCATGGACACAAGTGACTTCATCAGGCCAAGTTACACATCAGGTCTGTGGAGAGCCAATGTGCAGCTCACCATGATAATAATATTTAATATATAAGTTACACAGTGCAACATTTTAGAAGGTGATTACGCAATGTGTAAAACACTGAATGAGAACAATCTTGTGGTGGAATGTGTTTGGAATAATTTATATTTCTTTAGCTTAGTTTTCACTCTTTACATCCAGAATGCAGTTACTTCCTCACCAAGGAACAGTGGCCTTCAGTTTGAAGGGGAGGGCAATGCAGCATGATTATCAAGTGGCCCCACAGTAAAGCTCTTTGTTTGTCAATGGTTGACATGGGGCCAACATGCCTTTGGCTACTTCAGTGAAAACTTGTCTATCATATTGTTGGTAGGACTGGGAATCACAGAGCCCCTCACAATTCAATATGATGTGTCTCAATATTATCATATCATGATATGATGATATCACTGTATGGCTATGCAATTTTTATATTTTCCACATAATATTCAACATGTTAATCAACATAATATATACTTATATTTCAAATAGAAATATGTGGTGCTCTATGGCATCACTACCTCCACAAGCTGTTTACAAAATACACTTATTTTAATAATCAAAATCATGAATATGTCAACTGCATTCAAAATTTCTTTCTCTAAATAAGCAACAACAGAATATCCATGGTGATATACTTAAATAGACCATAATCCAGAAGCTCAAAGTCACTTTACAATAATACAATAAATATTAATAAAGTACACAACATTCAAAACAACTTCAGCTGACCAAAACTTCAGTTGACCAAAGTGTTTCACATACAAGTCAGCAAAAACAGATTCTTAATTGTTTGTGTTTCAAACAAAAACTAAAATGTGTACTTACTTTCCCAAAATTGTCTGTGTGCTGTTGGTAATTTGAGCTATCCTAGAAAAAGATAACACAGTCAGACGTTTAAGATGATTTAAGTGAAGAAGAGAGAACCAGAGTTGCACCTACTATGTTGCTGTGATGTGCTTTGGTCATAAGCAGCATTCTGCCCACCAGGTCTGTAGTGGAAACCCCCTGCGTTCGCTTACATTCCCTGAAAATACATGAAAACCTTTTACTAACCCATTTTGTTTTATAATTGTCCAGTGTTTTCAGAAGAGATATAGGCATCACCTGTACCGCCCAGACTTCTTCACCTCTTCATATGTGTCTTTTCCATCTACTGTCAGTGTTATATCATCTAAAGACAGATAACATTTAAAAGTAAACATATAATTTGAGGTGACTGAGACATGACTTGTGCATTAAGTAAGGTTACAAAGAAAAGAATGAGGTACCTCCATGTACACAGAAGTCACTGTTGAATTTGTCAAGTGTCTCCAGTGTTGTGACATAAGGTGCTCCCTCTACCACCTCATCCACCCATTTTATTGCCCGCACCATCTTGTACCGTTCTTCCTGAGTGAATACTGGTGGGCCTTTGTGCTTTGCAATTTCACCTAGAAAACAGTTAAAAGTATTTTGTTGATTTTTATACCGAATCAGGAAAACATCTCACAAAAAGGGTGATGCGTTGATAATCATAAGTCCATATGAAAAAAAAAAAATAGAAACAATGAATATCCATATTTGCTTTGTTATATAAATAAAGAAAATAATCTTACTGTCAGTGTGCACTCCAACAATGAGGTAATCTCCCATAGTTTTGGCCTGTCGCAGCTGGTTAGAGTGGCCATAGTGTACCATATCATAGCTGAAAAAAACATTTACACAAAAGTTATTATAACTGCGAACACTGACATTCTGCTTATGCACAAAGATTTCCATGGACACACATATAAACATCAAGACATTTTGTAAAACAGATGATAGATATTACAAATAAATTATAAAATAAAGGAGCACGGCAAAGTAATACACGGCAAGCAATATTGTGCTTTGACAATGGAAATATGATTCATAAAAATGTGACCAATGACAATTTACTGTAAAGAAAAACAAAAATTGGAATTGGTCTAAAGAGGTCCACTCCATTTTTAAATGGCTGATTTGAGACATTACTACTTATGTGTATGTAATATGTAATTAATAGGAAAAAAGGATGACTAAGATAGGTGATTTGTAGCACTTTTTTTTTTTTTTTAAATACAACACTTTGGCCAGCTGTAAAGTTTTTAAAGTGCTTTATAAATAAAGTTGGTATGGTATGGTAGGATTTTTCTTTTGAATATTGAAAACGTTATCAGTGAAACACGTCATATTTTAGAATTTCATAATAACAATTGTAGTGGGTTGTTTGCTTCTTAATACATGGCTGATTTCTTGATGACCCACAAGTGACTGTATTCCTCTTGTATTTTTTAGAGGGGGTGGATCATGACAGTGTTACGCTGCAGGGATTAAATATTAATTGGTAGAAACTGTTAGCGGACACCCACGATACATCTAAGCATCAAAAGGACACTTAGCTTGCTGACGTACATGGCAAGAACAAAAACTTTACTTTGCTTGTGTTTATGTAAACACACATAGTCAGCAGATACACAGTGGAAGTGGACTTTGACGCCTACATCATCATTAACAAGTGATCTTTAAACCCTTGTTTCACTAACCAAAACATCTGATTGAATAAAAACAGCCTGAATGAGTGTCCAGTGTTCTCTGATGGGCATTGCTTCACAGAGGCACTGGCAGGTATGGGCAGCAGGGCAGAGGGTTGATGTCATAAGCTTTGTTGACATAGGCGCTTTTTGCATGCTCATCCCACCGGTTAATATAGTGGCATCCCAAATATTCTGTAACATTCCTCCAAACATACAGCCTGGCCGCCACACCTAACTGGCAGGAATTTTACTAAAGAAAGGCACCATAATCCTGGTCTACATGCACAAATATTCAAAATGTTTCTGTAGCCCTGTGCAAGAATCATCCATCTAAGAAAGAAACTAGTATGTATTAGACTAGGAATATAACACACACATATTGGGATATAACATTGCATTCTTATTAGAAGTTACAATTAACAGTTTAATCTATAATACATACAATACAAAAAAAAAGGTGTCATCATGTTGGGCTGTGAAAAAATGAGACCCACCCAGAAGTCTGCAGTCCAGCCATCCAATTATATCTAATCAGTCCTTGTAGTTCCCTCCTGGGTTAGGTTATTTTGCAATAACTGCTTCTAACAGGGGTCATAAATGTGCCTGGCCAGTTATGTAATAACATAAAGTAGGCTACTCAGGAAAAAGTATCAAATGTTGGTACTAAAACAGTCCTGAAAGGGTCTTATAGCCTGAAATAGAAGTACTGCAGAGGAAAAGTTCATTATGAATGCTCTGATACCTAATAGTTTTGAATGGGATAGTCCTAGAACGGTCAGCAGGCCGGCCCCAGGAAAAGACAGAGCAGTTTCCATTAAATGACATACAACAGGCCGCACAGTGGTATAGGCTAAAACATACCATCATGTCAGATCAGTAGTAGTGTACTCACCAGCCATCGCACCACACTCGGATTTTCCGTCTCCTCTTCTCGGGGCTGCATGCTGCTGCAGCGGGGGTCGTGCCTGCGTCTTTCCCTGTCGCCGTGCTTGCTGGATGCTGGTGATGGCCGTTTTTAATCATATTGAGGCAGATAGCTAGTCTTCTTCAACTCTAGGAGGGGCAGGTAGAATCTGACAAAAAAGTGTTAAATATTCCCGTACAGGATAGTCGGATACTTGTCTCTGTCAGTGGTGCGGCGATTTAACCTACAGCAGCCTACAGATGCGCCAACGCCTCCCAGCGCATTGACGCACGACGCTCGTTGCGTCAAGTCGGTCGACGGTGCCCAGTGCTTATTAATTTGATGTCCTATAGACTGGCAACATTGTCACTAACTGTATGCTGTTTGGGTCTTTCATTCTTGTTATCTCTTATAGTGTGTTCCTGGTTTGAGCCCAGTTTAGCCTTCTTAGTTTGGCCCTGTTCCGGGCTTGGTCCCAGTAGTATCCCATCATGAGGTGGGGGGAGTGGGCTGCTTGTGTCTGTCTTTGATTACATAGTCTAACGGCTACTGGTGGCTCATGAAGCCAGCCCTACTGTCACATGACACGACAACTTGTCCATCCTCATGTGGTAAACCTATATTTTCATAGATTCAATTCTCAAATGCTTTATAAAAACAATCTGACAGAACTGCCTAATTTAGCCAAGTATTAAGCCTAGGCTACATGTAATTTTATACAATTTCAAAATATTATACCTTGTGCTCCCTAAAACAGCGACAATATCACGGTCACCTGGTGCCTGTGTATTACATTTGGCATGTGGGTGGGTGTAAGAAACAGCCACGTCTAACGTAAAGCTCGAATAGGCCATATTTTAATATCCACATTAATCATTTTCTATCATCTTTGCTATATGACAAAATGCCAACTGGCCAATTGAGACAATTGCAACGAGGCCTATTTAGCAGCAGGGGGAGCTATAGAGCTAAATATCTCAAAGACAATCTTTATGTTTTTGAACCATCTGACATTGTGGTCCTACACTTCCAACTTAATTTAAATTGAGCACACCACAGTAAGACATATTGCCTCATTATATTAACCTAATATCTAAATTATAGATCGTGATTATAGAAAGTTACAGGCTTACAGGTGAAGATAGTTATAGCCTCTCACTGTCTTCTCTTTGTATAAGTTCTCACTTGTAGCACAATGTATTTATTTATTTATTGATGTAACATGTTTATGGCATTTGCTTCAGGTTTTGTCAGCAATCTGGTGCATTAACCCTTGCTGATGATAAGGATGGAAACATTAATTGTACAGAAGCTGTTGTCTCAGAACTGGGGCAGGCACCTGCTGCAGAAGTGGGTGAAGATGAAGAATGCTGTCCTAGATTGCCCACAGCTCACCTTAACCCAGCCCACCAAATTAATCAAGTCTTCAGAGGCCGTGCGCTTGTCTGGAGCAGACACCTGAGGAGCTCTGTGAGGCACAGGTCACCCACGCCTTTAAGAGTGGCTTGGTGGAGATAGGGGCTGCTGGAGCGGGTGGTGGATTTTGGTGGGTTTGGACTTGCCCTGCAGGATGGAGAGTAAGATGTGCATCTCTAGCCATCTGTCTCTTTGTCTGTGGCTGCTCTCTGGAGATGTGTTTTGAATGTGTAGGGCTGAGGCGCTGCTGAGGCTGATGTTTGATGAGGTGTGCTGAGACAGAGGGGGCTTCAGAGGCCCACAGGGAGCAAAGATGACTAACTCACTACTCCTTATAATCTAGGACAAGCACACCTAGACATCCTTCATGACTCTAATGTTTTACTCGTGTCGGGCCAAAAATATGTCCACTGAGGTTAGCCAAAGTGGGTCGCCCACAGCTTTTTTTGGATCACAGAAAAAGAAATTGTGCCATCTAAATGATCGCTGTCTTCAAACCCACCCTGGATGGCAAAAGCCTTCCCCACCAGTTTATTTTTACATGTATCGAACTGGGTCAATGACACCACAAAAAGACAAACCCCAATTTAAACAGTGTTAAAAAGTGTTCACATGATCATGTACAACTATGAAGCCTTTTTCAAAACATTTTATTGGTCTTATAGAAAATAATGTAAGCTGTATCAACAAACATACAATATGTACATCAATAACTTAGACACCTCAGAGAATCACATTTAAATCCACAGTTTTGACTGTATGTGAATACATAGTACTTATCTACATTGCAAAAGTACAATAATTTAATTTATAAATAGTTACAATTAACTATTGTTTTTTCATACAAAGTACTGCAATATTTATTACAACCCATACAGAAAAATAACAAACCATTAACTTTGTATTACTTACTTTCATCATATTTTTATAGCTTCAGAACACAGACCCACTCCATGAATACAAACTTCACAGTCATCTGTTACAAAGCATTATTTCATGGACAAAGCCTATGTCAAGAGCTATATGCTTTTATCTACCCTCTTCCTGAACATGTAACAACAAAAACGATAATGTTTTAGTTTCAACTAAATGTGATACATAACAAACAGTGCTAAGATCTAAATGCAGTATGTAAATGATGCTACAGTAAGCCTAAGCAACTGGTGTAGCAGCAGAAAAAAAAACAAAAAAAACAAAACATAAATCCATGCGTCACTCGTACAATAGAAAAAATATTGCAAATGGCCCTTATGACAAAAAAAAAAAAAAAAAAGATAAAAAAGAATAGAATCATTGACTAGTCAGTGCACAATCTCCAGAGCAAAGTAATAGACCCATTTCTGATGGATGAGCAAATCATCTATTTAAAGTTTAAAATGTGTGAGTAAGGCTTGAGTGCAACCACCACAACTGCTCTCACATATACAATGTGATACAACATTATGAAGGGCCGACTGCTCTTGAATTGGAGCATAAAATGGAAGAAATATAATACAATAAAACTAGAAAAGAGTACGAAATATTAAATAACAGACCATAAGCACTATGACAATATTGATTACTCTTACGACTACTCTTTCACACCTTTTCCACTGAGTTGCATATTAAGGGTCACTTTTTTCACAATGGTCAGTAATACCTACTTGTAGCTACATACTATACACCTGTGTGAAACAGCCATCTTTAGCGCAGACTGAGAAATTGGTCGTACGGTGCCACTTTGGAACACCTTTAAAAAGACACTTGACACAGAAAATAGATTCACTCCACGAGACTGCCACAGCAATACGGACGTCAACACCAATACTGGGCTATGTAGAGATTTCAGATATACATTTTTCCAACAGTTACCAGTCAATGCAAGTTTGTTAAGCATGTTGTGATGATAGGGTATGGCCACCAACCAAAAGAGCATGGAGCCATGAGAAGTGGTACTTATGAGCTCAACATGCTTATAGATAGACTGACCAGCAGGGGAGTGAGAGCTGGATGAAGAGCATTACCCAACTACAACTTTCACCTTGAGTTGTAAAGCATCTTCACGGGTAAATTCCTTTTTAGAGGACTGTACTTGGCACAAGCGGAGGGGAGAAGTACCAGGGGCAGCTGCTGTTGATTGGAATTTTACGTGGTCGTGCCGTGTCTCTCTTTCCGAGTGTGGATTGAAAAAGCCCTTTATGAAATGCTTATTTTAAAAGAAAACTGATAGAGGGAGATAAACAGAAAAAAGAGCTGCCATTCCTGCTTTTTGTCTAAAAAGCCTTTCCATTTTTAGAGTGACCTGTTTTGTCCTGAGCAAAACAAGCAGGAGCTTAGTGCATAAGAGACCCTCAATCAACGCCTACCACTTGTACAGTATACAAGTTCAGTGGGTAAACCTTTTACTGGAAATGCTGCGCTGTTGAAGTTAATTAATATATTTCTGTGATTTTCTCTGAACAAAAATAGTGTGTTAATTGATTTTGTTATAATATTATAATGCTTCAACTCTTAAGTAAAGTCAATAAAGACAAAGCAATTGTAAAATCAATTTTTTCAAAGGGACAAAAAATCATACATTTGAGCTTTTTACCAGATACCCAGATTTCTGCCTTACCTGGCTTGATATGGTGAACTTGTAATGAGTTTATGTTCGTAACAAACACCAAGGAAGCAAAGGGAAATCACAGATGCTGTTATGCACAAGACATTTGACCTTGTTTACACCACCTAGTTTAGCTCTACAGATTTGTTTTATAATAGCACAGCTTTTTGACATCTATACAGTGAACGACACTGCCAACTTGTCACTTACACATCACATCACGCGCTACCCCACAGTACGCGCCTAGTCACTAGAAAAGCTATCAGACTTCAATAGTAAGCCACTTTCGGTACAATTGCAAAAAGAGATGTCACAGGATTTTTTTTTTCTTTTTTTGTGTGTTTCTATAAACAATGGAAGTAATCTATGTTAATAAAAACAAAAACTAAACATTAGACAAAGTTTCCTTAACACCCTAACAATTCAAACAGTAAAGCTTGAGTAAAGTTTTCTTTTGGAAATGTTTGATGGTAATTACAAAATAAGCAATAAATATCTTGAAATGAAAATATCATGAACATAAATGTTCGATATGAGCAAAACATAGGTTTTGTGGGCTACAAGATACCCACAAATCATGAAGGTATTGTACTGTAATAACATTCAGGTTTTGCAGATATTGTTGAGGGAGCTTGTCACATTGGAATGGCGCTCCGCTCTACAACAATATTCTTTAGAACCGCTGATCGTTTTTGCCATAAATATAATAGACCTCTTTGTACTTTCAGTGCATACATATATTATTGCATCTACCAGTCATACTGACAATGACAAGTTCATTAACATCTGTCACAGAGGCGTAAACAAAACAAATAGTAAATTTGGATGCATCGCTCCACGCTTACGCCCTGACAGATAAAACCAACAATTTGACAATTTGAGTAGATTTGGGTTTTGTCAAGCTGATTAAAGACACATAATGTTTGTACCAACAATTTGCTTGGATTGATCATTCTGAGTCAGTGCATAATAACAGGTCAAAGGGTTAGCTAAAGCTTATGTTTTTTCAGTATCTATGTAAAAATGTCACTATGTTTAAACTAATTATGGTATTGGGACTATACAAGCTCTGCATTTGTAACCATAACCAAAAATCTTATTTTCTGATTAATAAAGATAGCATACAGTAGTTTTAGTGCTAAAGAACAAATTATGAGCTAACCCAATGCCATGTTACAAATTACACACAACTCTCCCTCTGGCCCATTCTGCTACTACGATCTGGCTTCAGTTTTGGACTTGACGATGGTGATGACGCTGGTGGCGGCTACTTTACCAGGGATAAGCGGCCCAATGACGGAGGCCATTGGAGCCCGGGTGGTGACAGGGTTACGGGCCACAGTCCTGGCAAAGCTCTGGAGGGCCTCATACTTAGAGCGTAGCGCGTCCAACTCCACCTTCATACTGGCGTTTTCTGTAGCCAGTTTGTCAACCTCCTGCTGCAGCTGAGCCTTTTGCTTCTCCAGTTCCTCCTTTTGGGTGACGCGCTTCACTCGGCAGCTGGCGGCATACCCCCGATTCTTTAAAGTACGTCTCCGCTGCTTTAACTGCAGTATTTCCTCTTTGGTAAGGCCACGGAGATGCTGGTTCAACTCCCGTACTGACATGGTCACCAGCTCGTCATCTGTCAAGCTGGTGCCATTCTCTCCAGGCTCCCGCTTCACCTGGGAAAGAGAAGTATTTTTCATACTATAGATTTGTAACAGAATCAATATGGTGGAATGTATAAGATTAAAGAATGACCTGTTTATGAAGACAATGAAATTGTCATCTTGAACTGTATACAGTTAGAGCAATATGTAATAGTAAATTCCACGGGGTAAACACTGTTAATACTGCACCTAATTAGCCTTAATAAATTCATACATTCCATTTGTATCAATATTTCTATACTATAAGAATACTAACTTGTGTTTACCTTCAAGGCCTTGTTTCCTTTGTTTGTGGTAGTCATGCCACGAGAGCCGGGTCCACCTGCACTACAGACTGTTCTGTAGAAAAAAGGGAAAAAAGAACACTGTAAAAAGATAAAGTAAATAAGGAATTTTCGTGTAAAGAAGCTCATCCATGACTAGCCCTGCAAATATAAAGCCCTGCAAACTGGGTCAAGGGCATACAAGTTCGTTGTAAAGGCCAAGTCCATTCCCTGAGTTGTACCTTGACTATTAGTGCCCTGTCACTGAAAACAAATGGCTTGAAATATCAATTTTCTTTTCTGTACAGGCACAGATACAGATGGGTTGACTGATGACAAAATTTGCACCATTGCTAGGGACATTAACAATTCAAAACAAAATATAAGTAAGTATTCAAAATGGATTTCAGCTTTCTGTTATATGGATTTAAATATTCAGGACTTTTTCCACATTCAAAATGTATCATATTTAGTGCTATTGGTCCTAATTTAAAAATGTTAAACCAATAGATAACAGGACCCTGAAAGTCATGAATATTGTAGCATATATAACCTTAGACTTGAATAATTTCTGACAAGAAGAAAAAGAAAAGTTGTCAATTTTACATCGGGGTGTGACAAAATATTATTAATTCATTATGAGAGTTTAATTGGTAACTCTGCATCATTATCACAGACTGATGAATCCAAAATAAACATTTCTTTATTTATGAGCAGTTTCAGAATAATTACAATCAGGGAATATCAGACAAGACATTAAGTTGTACATTTAACACATGCTTAGACACAGAGCAGCCTTTCTATTTGTCTAGACAGCCACACATACTACATCTGTTGAGTGTCTATAATCCCCCGAATCAATACAAAGATATGGGTGCTTCGCTGCAGAGCCTCAGCCACCATCCAGGGCACTGCAGTTCAGCACATTCAGACGTGTCCATTGGGTTAAGGGAGAATCAGGGCAGATGTGAAACCTATCCAATTGGTGCTGGGACAGTCGGAAAGTGGGGAGTGTGCACCCAAGTGAGCCATGGAATGGGGTAAGAACGTGATCTCATATATACACAACCGCACCGGATCGCTTTGTGGCCGTGGGTGCTTACGCGGCACAAATGCTGCGTCAGCGAAACAGGCACCCATCACGGTGAGCCCAGCCAGCACAATGCCTCAGTAAGCTGCTTTACACAGCCCAGCAGCATGTTTGGATAGAGCATATAAACAAATACATGTGGGAGCTCACTGGGGTTTACCATCCAACAAGTATGCACATTGTAGTTGCTGGGAATACAAAGGAAAATGTAAGGTAAGACTGTGGGGTTATTTAGAAGTACAGTCTTTCAAACTTTTAGATAAGACACAGACTTTGAGAATGTGTTAGTTTATGTATATAGTGTTGAGGCAGTTAAGCTGATTTTAGTTTTGAAATTGTGTTTATTTTATTTCTTACACCTTATTTTATGCATGCCTTTTATCTTGTACAATATTTTCAAAGCACATTCCAAGTTTGCAATTTTGTTCACAAAGCTGTTTCTGATTCTGTTTATTCTACCGGACCAAATAACGGAAGTGCCAGAGAAAGCAACAAAAACATTAGGAAGAGCACTCACTCATTGCAGAACTCATTCATTAATTATTAGTTTTTTGTTAGTTCTGTTGTTGTGTTTTCAAAGTGAATTAATTTTCAGATCAGATATCACAAAGAACACAGTGGATGAAGAGAGAAGAATGCAATATCAAAAGAAAACCTTCCACTTGTGTGTAGGAACCAATGTGCCAAAACAGTGCATTTTTATTGACGCCTAAAGACATTTTATTCTCTTCCCATGCAGTGGCCCCAGGGCTGCACTTTGAGCATTTGACTTGTTTGAAAGACTACTCGAATGGTCAAGATATCTCCATGGTAACAAAGTGATGCTACAGGTGAAATGGTCAAATGGGAGTCAAACGAGAAAAGACAATGCTCAGAATATAACATGAGGTCAGATGGTGACTTGCATTTGGATGCAGTCAGAAAGAGTGCTTTAGCAGAGGACATTTTAAACATGATACTTTCATCCCTGTTGGGCTGCTATGAATAGCCCACTGATAGTAACACCTTTAACCGGCCTTTGTGGTGACTCATTTCCAGTCAGCATTTGGACCACAGATGCAAAACATAATGGGATAATGGTCTGCCTGATGAGGCACAGATAATGGACAAATAGACAGGAAAGTACTCCACTAATAGCTACAAGGATGAGAGGGAAAAGGCTGCTCCTCTGAAATTTCATAAAACCCAAATTCTCCCATAAGCACCATGGTCTGAAAAACTAGTCTAAAATATGCAACCAAATAGAACAGAGTCCAGGTTCTGGAGGTGGATCCTGTCATGCAGCTGTGTAGGATACACAGTAGGCATGGCTTGGCACGTTGAAAGCTCACCATATGACAGTGTGGAAGGAGAGCGCCCAGACTGCAGCCCTCCAGCTCAGGCTGCTGCCAACAGACGGCTCCCAATGACAGGGCATGGCAGCACAACACAGACAAGGTCCAATGCACAGCTGCTCCCTCCTCGAGCCGGCATGTCACACCTCAGAGACAAAGAGCATGCCACACATCCAGACAGGCAGGGAGAAATGTGCCTCCAAGACCTTTCAATATGGAAGACATAATCTTATTATCTTAGAAATAATCAAATTAATGGATGTGTTAGGTTTGGTCATAAAATCTTTAAGTAAAGTACATATGAGACCAAAAAATAAATAAATAAATAAATTGGAACTTAGTGGTCAGGTTGTTGAGCATGTTGATTTTAGGGGTTGACTTGTGAGTCAGTTAGAATGACAGATGAAATATGACTTTGATGAAATTCAAGGTCAGCAATGGGGCAATCATCCACTTTCTTCATCATCCCAGGATAAGGTCAATGCTTTTCTGAAAGCTGTAATTGCAGAGTGCTGTTAAAATACAAAATCTGTGTGTGCCATCTGTCATCTAGGATACTGAAATTTGCATATAATCTATTTGTAAAAATTTTGTGCAATAATTTCATATGAAAGTTTTATCATTCTTCTTAAATGCTGTTTTCCTGTATTAATTTGATCCATTTGCACATTACAAGTATGTTAATTCTAGGACCAAAGATGACATCCTGAGTGGTAATCTTTTCAGTCTTTTGTGGTAGCCTATCAAAGCGGACAGGATAGCAGCTCGGAGCGCAGGGTGATCTGAAGGCAGAGTGCAAGCGCTGGGACGAGGGCGTCTTCTATATTTAAATGATTTTTTATGAATTGCCTGCAAGAACGCTGACAAATCAGAGCTGATTTGCTTGTGTAGGAGAGACATCACACCCAAAGGAAACAGAAAATGCTGAGTGTGGTCACCCGGTGAAAGGCAAGAGAAGGAGTGAGATAGACAGAAGGTGAGAAAGAAGGAGGGAGTTTAATCAAATATGCTCACTCAACACATTTAGAGGAGCTTGAGAAGAACAGGTTGAAGGAAAAAAACGCACTGGTGTCAGCAAGGACCAAAACCAAGGTGCCAATTAAGAACTTGTGAAGCTGAACTGACACAACGTAAGACATTTGGCCAGCCTTCTCAACCTGTCCATGTTTATCAGCATCTTAACAGGGGAACGGGGCGGCGAGGTCGACTTAGGTTGGTCACAAGGAGGGCTGTAGTAGAGGGATAAATGCTGATGTGACACGATAGGATCATTAAAGCCTGACACTGGCCCTATCTCCTCAGCAGGATCCCTCCAGGGGGCAGCCTACGATGGACACTATTAACTAGGGGGCTCTTTGTTGTTGGGGAATGGGAAGGATCTGGCATCCCGGCACCGAGTCCCCCTGATGAATATTTATCACTGTCATTCACAGCTGAAGGTGGGGGTGGGAAGCAGAATAAAGATGCTCGGGAGGTGATTCTTCAAGGATACGACCAAGGCTCTTCCATCAACCGCTGTCTCAAAATGGCGGTAGAGTAGGATAGGATAGGTGGGTGATGGGGAGTGAGGTGGGGGTGTAGGAGGAGGAAGCGCGGGGGCCGTCTGGTGCTGGAGGTGGCACGCTTGGTGGTTCAGGGCCGCGGGGAGAGCCAGATCCACTTGACAGCAGTGTAACAAGATTATCAGGGCCATGAGAGCAAACAAAAAGCCCCAGCAACCTGCCTCAGAATCCAGATTACGACAGCGGCCCGCTCCCTGAATACTAAACACGACTGCCTGGCGAGGACTAACAGGGCACCCAGGATTTAGTGAGACATGAAAGTGCGGGACATCACATCATACAACTGATCACACACAGTTATACACACACACATACACGTGCACAAAGATAACCAAAACCACACAAGTGCACATAAATTTCACTTGTCATGACCAATTCCTGAAAAGATGTGTCTGGGCACTTGGCCCTGGCAGGCTGCTAATGAAGTGAATACAACAAGACGATGGAGGAGCATGCTGATGCAACACTGTTTGGAGGCAAAAGCATAGGCTAGATCCAGCAATCCCACTTCGATAGGAAATCAGAGCACGCCAAAATAGTACATCTCACCCAAACACCAAGGACATAACAGTAATATGCTATGTGGAGAAAGCACACATTTACAGTAAAGGTGGAGAGCACAGACTCCTGGTTCTGGCTATGAATACATTTAAAGCATCCAAAAAAATAACTGAACACTGAAAAGACTTTATGGAACAGCAACTAGACTGTACAGTAGTTTAGACAAGTTTTATGATGTTAGAGATTTGTATCCATAGCAACCGTTTTCTAATGTCTTTACAGATTTTTTAGATTCTATTTATAAAATAATAAGAGATTATAACAAATCTGAAGAAACATGGCTGGTGGAATTCATTTTTAACACACCATTAAATGAAAGTAACAGATGTCTAGTCTTCCTGATCACATATTCATTTTCCTTTATTAATTATTGATAGGACATGTACCCTTACTCTATTATCATAAGGTTCCTGCTGAAGCAATGAACATAACCAGAATTTCTGTCACAGTAAAAAAAGATGCTAACATGTTGCTAATATTATTTGACTCAACAATAGAATGCCCTTTTCTGCACTGTCCACTTGTGACTTTGTAATTTTCAAGCCAAGTGGAAACCAATACTTTTTTTCTATGTTGCCAAAAATAACTGTGTGATCAAGAAGTGCTTTTAGTGTCTCCCTTTTATTCTGAGTTGAAATGATTGCCTGGATATTCCGATCTAATCATTCCTTCTTTCAGCTGAGTGAAGTCAATTATCAAGCAAGCTGCATGTGTCGGGCACCATTTAACTGCAAATTAAAAATCAGACTCTGGGAGAGCTTTAGAGGACTTACGAGGAGAAGACTAGGGAAAGTTGTGCATGGAGACAACAGTGTGAGAGCTAAAAGGTACACTGGTAAGAGAGGAGGGAAGCTATTAGGTAGTAAGTATTCAGAGCGTGAAATAAGAGTGACAAAAAGAGGGAGAGAGAAAATCATTCAGCAGCTTTCACACAGAAATGTGATACGCTTGTAGTAGAGGGGAAATACTAAGCCACAGGACTTTGGATCAGCACCGATTTGGAGCAAGGTGAAAACACCATCTAATAGGATTGTATCCTATCAACTAAATGCATAAAACAATTTGTGCCCCCGAGGTCAGGTTTAATATTTTAAAAGTTACATCTATTGCACTATGCTTGCGTTTAATAAAACGTATGTGTTGCCTCATTACCTCTTTGACTAAGCCCATCAGTCCTCAAGCTGTTTTAAGTAAACAAATTTATGTTCAAAATATGTACAAAATAAAGTATTCAATGGCAAGAAAAAATTGTTTTTTCCCTCTATAGAGCTAATAACTTATTGCTTGTACATTTAGCCATGGCTGTTAAAATAATGAAAGAGAAATAACATACTATTAATACTGCAGATGCATGTAGCACCCTTGTGGTAGAAATTTGCATTGAGTCCATGTTTTAAGAGAAAACATGAATCATCTCCCTCTAGGGAATCGGGTTTGTTCCAACACCAGTGTTAATGTGAAGTTTATTTAAAGAGACTTGGAGTGTGCTGGTTTACATTAACTGAGCTCAGAGCTGCTTTACTAATTGAAGCTCTCCGATAGGGCTACAGTAACAGGAGTGCTAGCCTTAACACTGTGTGCCTGCAGGACTTGATTAAATAGGGAAACAGCTCTCGATGCTTAGGCCTGGTGTTTACTGAGAAAGTAAGGGTAGTAGGCAGCCCACACACTGACAAAACATCTCCACTACACCAGTTGCACATGTAGTGAATGTGCCCAACGATGACCTAACAAGACAAAGTTACAACAGCTCATTTGGAGGCACAAAACTTTCCATTGAAACACTGAATACATTTAAAACATTGTTGTAAAGTTGAGATCTTTAGACAATTACGGTAGGCATTTTTCTGTGCTTTTCTAATATTTCTATTAATAACATGGCATTGGCTTAGATCATATTACAACCAGTGATGGATGATGTTAATTTCTTAATTTTCTGTTCTGCACTGTACTGTTTGCATGTTTATTTTCCATCTTATGCTTATCCTAAAACCACCCTCATTTAATTTATGACATCAATGTCACAGCACCATTGGACCCCATATAACTCTCTAATCGTTGCATCAAAAACAAATAACTGACCATGCTATTGCTCTACAGGAGTAACAAAATAATCATACATGCATTTACGTAGGACAAGCAAAGGGTTTTAACTATGACAATAACCCACGCACACTTGCACTGAACAAGTGTTTGGGCTGTCCTACTTTGTGTTTGTATCATTTTTAAAGTAATTATTTCATCTTAGTACAACGAGCATAACCTTGAGTGCACATATAGGCAAAAGACTTTTTCACCATGGATCGACCGTAAATCAGTGCACATAAAAGTAGGTTACAAGGAAAAACACTGGCCAACAAGCAGCTCTGCACATGCATTTGTTCAGTATTAGCTAATCTAAATTATGAACACAGAGGACATGCCAAATCTGACTCAAGATCCAAACAACAATCATCAAACACTGTCCTGTCTGGATGGGAGTAATACTTTGAGAGGTGCAGCGGGCATATCGCAATGCTAAGCAATCATAATCCGTGCTACACTTGCAAGGGGTTTCATCACCAGCGTTCCCTCCCTGATGCAGAAAGGGGAAAAAAGTATATTGATCTTTTTCTCCTTTCCTTCCAGGCATTCCCATTTCCCTGTGCAGCTTAAGCAGCACTTTTGTGGACAAATCCCACATTTGTGTTCCTTTCTGCAGGCTATTAATTGTCCTGAATAGGCGTAACTACTCCCAAGGCACAGCTGTGTTCGCTATACAGAGGTCCTGGTGGCCGGCTCGTACACTAGCTACTTAACTCTTGCCTCATGTTTCGTCAACCTCATACGCCTTCTCTCTCGCCCCACTGGTTGACCATTCTACACAATGCCACTGGGTATGAGTTGTGCACTCACTTGGTTCACCTCAGTGGCATCCGGTCTTATTTTATAACTGCTGCCTCAACGCGAGAAGCAATAAATCTCAGAGATGATCACCACTCCCAGTCTCCGTCCACACACTGCTACCAGCCGCATCCGGATGTTATAAGGGCCTTCATCTGTTCTTGTTACCTGCAGAGAAAGGCAGGGTTGGGCATTACGCTTTATTGCAAAAGCCCGGGCTTCTGATGCGAGGCTGGCCTGTCTGCTAAACACACTTCAATGCCCCGCTCACAAGAGCAGAGATGATGAAATAAGGTGAATATCTGAGCAAGAATGGGCAACTTCTATCTGTTAAGCACTGCCTATACACCAAATAGTTTCCAAGGTGACTTTTCAAATTGCAAAGAGATTCTCCATGGATAATTCATTACCTACCCTCTATAAGCGTGCTGTCTAATAGGCAGCGAATTTCATCATGAACAACACAGGGAAACAAGAGCAGCTGTCAACACCTAATATGAGAAATGATGATGCGCACAGAGAAAAGCGGCACAAGAAAAAACAATCCTGAAATGTGTCCTAAAATTATTTGAATTTTGAGGCCTACGAATGCAGTCAGTTATTTCAGCCATCAATAACTTTTCATCAAGTCATTTATCAGAAATTAGTTAAAAATCCACTCTGTAATAATATTCAACAATGCCTAAATGTCAAACAAACAAACAAACAACAAACAAAAAACACATAGAAGAAAGAGACAATTAATAATTTATGATAAATTCTGTTGATATATATTTTCTATTGATTAGCTACACATAGTTACTGCATCTTTATTACACATATAAAACCTATATTTGTACAGCGGAAAAATATAGTGCTTATCATGCATTCCTGTAATTGATTTGACACTACAGTTGACATCAGGCACTTGGTGTAAATGTGCTCTAGCCTGTTTGTTGATGTACATCATGACAGCGCTGCAATAAAACGCGCGTTCTCCGCTGAATGTAGATTAGACTATTGATAAATGCATGATGGTCATCACTTGATGCTCGCGCTCCTCTGACTGACTTCACGACAAATCATCACACTTTCGATCCATCGTCTTAGTAACAGCGGCTTGGTGATAACCATCGACCCTTATCTATCGAGCAGACCTTTGTCCGGTGGTGCCATATTTCGGGGTGGATTCAGAGAACGACTAAATACATCATAGTGATGATTCAGCATGATAAAAATACCGAGGCTTGTTTGTTGTTTGAAAATAAAACATCACTGCTTAAAACGCTTAAGGGAATGAGTAAAGGCGAGAACGGCAAAAAGCTTTGGCATTGCCATTGTTAATTTAACCAGTGGTTAAATGACCTGTCAATTCAGGTGAATCAATTCAAAACATGCAATACATAATTTGAAATAAAATTCCAAGAGACAAAACCCTTAAACAAAGCCTAAATGAAACAATCACATATGCACCGACAAAAAAACCTATTGAAAATAATATTGCAACCAACCTGCTTTCGCTACACCGCTGCCTGTGCCTGCTCTTTCTCCTTCTCACAACGAGGTGATGAAGCAGCAGGTTTGGACAGCAAGAAGCGCATGAGTTGACAAGCCCCCGAGAAGCGCAATGATATAAAGAATATTAAATGCAACTCATGCAACTATTTATTGTGAGTTCAACCCCATAACAGAGTTCTGACATTCCACGACTCCCGTCTCCAGCTTCACACTGCTGTCAAATTGGCAAACAACTCCCCTCCTACAAAACAAGCAAGCGAGGAAATCCCCGTGCTGTGCCGACGTCCTACTACAACTGTATCAGCCGCACGGTGCGTCTCTCTAACCACAGAAAACACCCTAAATCGCGGGGAATTTATGTAGTTGGCGCCATAATAAAACCAACTATTAGTTTTATTATCAGTTCACATGTGTATACAGATATTAGCTGCCATCTCGGCATAGTAACAGTGCTGTCAATTTATACACAATTTAATAGATTTCCGGAAAACGCGAACCTTTCAGAAAATCATTCAGTAGCGAGGATAATAGATTTTACGCGAAAATTACGCACTGCATTGCACATGGCTATAATCTCACTTTTAGTAGACAATAAACTGTACAAATGTAATATGATGGCATTGTAGTTAGTCTATCGTTAAAAAGACAACTTAATTTGAAGTGCACAGGCGGTAATATCCTGGTTAACTTGACGCATCCTGCTGTTTCGCGGTTAGCCCGTACAGCTAGCTGCACCCAGCCTGTCAGCGGCAGCGAGGCAAAGGCATGCACACTCAGCATAACAACACCAGAGCTCTTCTCTCACCACAGACATACCCAGGTTCAGGCTGGTCCTGTCTTAAAATTATTTTTTTCAAAATCTTCTTCTGATGTTGTAACCCGCGAGGAGAATCATTGGAGGCTCTTCAAGAAGATAGACCGAGCTGATAGCGCTTTCCCAATAAATGCCAACCGTGTTTCCCTTGTTGACTCCTTTCTCTTGTAACGAAGCCAGACGTCACCGTGTTTGGTCACGTGTCTTCATTCATGAAGTATTTTCTTTCCGCGCAAGAAAGGAGTAAATTTAACCCAGCATGCACACAGTGGATTTATATTAGCGCTATAACCATACACTGTGAGTGTGCAGAGACACTCTGTATTCGAACAATGACAGTATTGCACCATTAGGCTATGTTTTACGAAATAGTGGAAATTCTTTTTATTATTTATTAATAACAAAATTCATGGAAGTAATGTAAAGAGGTAGATCAACTTAAAATTAGTGTGGGCCATAAACAAAATAGACTATTACAGGTTATATCTCAATGTTAAAATGCCATTTAAATTAAATACCAATTGACCAGTGACCCAATGACCCATTTAAGAAGTAAAAGTAGTCTAACACAAACACTGCCTGACCAAAGGAGTGACTGAATGTTAATATGCCTGTAGACATTTCCCCATTAAAATCTTCACCCTCAGCTCTTCTTTGGCCGCGGATTACCAAACATACTGATCCCATGAGATCTAACTCCAACAGCATCTGCATTCACACCTGGCTGCTGCAGTACTTTGTCAAGAGTTGTCTTCTTAATGGCAGCTGGGGAGATTTTCTCTTGGTCAGCCAAAAACTGAAGTTCCCTTTGAGAAAAAAAGAACAGGACTTTGGCGAAAAGGTCTTGATGCAAAGGGAAAAAAATAACAATGTGATTACATGTAAGTAAGTGTCAATTGATTTTATTTAATCAGATGTGTATATTTTACACATTAACTAAATCTGATTAAGTAAATCTTTTACAAAATATATGTAAAAAAATATAGTGGCGCTGGCTACAATAAAGAGCCAATCTTAATTACAGTGTAATTACACAACCTTAAAACATGCTCGAAAAACAAAACAGTATAGACGTTATTTGATAAAAATTGGAATAATTAATTCTTACTTCGTCCTTACACAGGAGACCTCTACAGCATTAATCAAAAGGCTTCGGAAACCTCCGCTCTCCATGACGTGCAGTGCGTGAATGGTGGCTCCCCCTGGTGAACAAACGTTGTCCTTGAGCTGCCCAGGATGCTGCTCTGAATCCAACAGCATTTTAGCAGCTCCCTTTCAAAACAAACAAGACATTTGTGATTTGGGGTTTGAATTGATCATGTTTTGAAATTTATAAATGATGTTCAGACCCTATTGTGGACTAAAGTAGGCCTACATCATACATTTTAATGAGAAAATTATTTTAACTTTGGTAAAACAAAATTATAATTATTATTAACACAACTAATAAACTAATGAATACAGTTTACTTTCTGTGTACTAAAATATACCTGGGTTTAATTTCAAACCACAATGAATGGGTAAACTCTATATTATTATTATTAATTCATAAATTATTATAGGCTGTATTGCAATGGCCTACCAGTAAGGCTTGGGCTCCAAGTCGTACAGCTAGTCTTCTGGGCAGTCCCATTTTTACCCCGCCATCAGCAAGAGCATCTACAGCAGTGAATGCCTACAAACAACAATCAACATCATTAGGGCAACATTTAAACAACTCCTGTGCAAATGTGATCAGAGTGACTCACATAGGCTGGGCCACTGCCACTCAACCCTGTGACAGCGTCTATCACATCCTCTTCAACCTCAGTGCAGTAGCCCACACTGGCCATTAGCTGCTCCAGAAGCTTTCCATCCTCCACCTCCGCATGAGTTCCAGTGGCATAGACTGTGGCCCCTTCTCGCACCACGACAGGAGTGTTGGTCATACAACGCATGACCTTTGGAGATGGTCGATGCAGTTCTAGCTTCTGAAAACAGCAATCACTGAACAACTATTTCAAAGGTGCAGTTTACTATGATTTATTTTGTCCATTAATAAGCGTGAGTTTTGAACACAAAGCTTCTGAGCCTGTTTTACGTGTCATTGGAGCAGTATTTACATTCTGTGGCCTAGCAGGACACAGAAATACTTAATGGCTAAAGACAAGCCAAATAATGGACTCTTCCTTGCCTTCTCTATGGAGCCAATAGTGACACCTGCTGCACAGGACACAATGAGATGCCGCTCTTCAATATCTGGTCCAATCTCATCCAACACAAAGGGAATGATGTGAGGTTTCACTGCCAGGAACAGGACATCACTTTTCTTCACAGTTTCTTTGTTGCTTGTGGTGACATTCACACCCATTTTCTGTAAGAATGAAACATTTGTATTGCTGCATGCATTTTCAGTTAAGAAGCATTTAGCACTGATCATCATTATTAGAAACATCTTGTTTTCAAACAGTAATGATGTTGGTGTATTGAAATGTATTGATTAGGCCAACCCACCCGCAGACCATGCACTGTTGGAAGATCTGTGTCCGGAGAGCTGGCAGTGATTCTGTGGGCAGCAATCACGCCTTGGGGATAAATGTACAGAAATCAGTCTGATTGCAATCAACACACATCAATAACACAATATGTTTCCTATAGACTCCTGTATGTAGGCTGAACATGACTCACCCGCAGCAGTGAAGCCCCTGACCAGGGCGTGAGCCACTTGACCAGCTCCTATGAAGCCCACACTCATACTGCCTCCTGTAACTTAGTGGGAAGAGTATTAAGTTACATTAGCTTTTGCAATTGTGCTATTGATATAGCACAGGCTACTGTAGCTTGCAGAGCAGCACTTGTAAACAAAGCACGTCATTAAAAGGACATTGACATGTGTAAATAGCCTAGTGATACATAGGTTAGATGTGTAAAGACAGCAAGAACAACTTTAAACACCATACTTATACTTTGTCCTACCTTAATAAGCGTCAACGTGGACCCCTTCTATCGCTCTAAAAATCACCTGAAAATATACTGATTGACAACTGTAACACCCAGTAAGAATAGTCGAGTTAAGTTTTCATCCAATTGAAGACTTTGCGTCGGCAATGTAGGGCGGGTTCGCCAAACCAGAAAAGTTGCATCAGGTTTTGCCTCCGGGCCCGGGGCTGGTCGCGATCCTTTGCTATCATCTGCTGGCGAAAAGCCCAAAAAGCAAGTGCAGCCTGTTGGGAGAAAACAAGTGTGGACCACTCATTTTAAGTACCGTATCTTGGTAGGTGTCTTGTTTTAACAACATTGATCGTGTTTGTTTTCTGCTACTTAACAACAAGAGAACACATGGAAGATAGATGCGCAAGAAACTGGCTTCTCCACTGCTGGTGTGCAAAGAGCTATTCATGCTATTTAGCTAAATCAGTTTTTGTTCGTGTGTATTTAGTAGCCTATATTTCCATTCTGAATCTACTATTGATTAATTAAAAAATATATAATCAAATTATTAAATACATTAAAAATAAATAAAGTGAAATAGTAATTAAGTTTATTACCATGTAGCACATGACAACACTTTCACAACAACAATCTTCAGTGCAAAAAATGTATAACATGATGTATCTCCCTGTTACTGTAATACATATATTAATGTGATAGTACTGATTTAATAGTTTGCCACTCTAGGTCCACTGTGGCTAATACACACCATTCTCCCCTAAAGAAGAGCATTAAAGTACACACAGCAAACATGGGTGATGGATTGGCAAAGCCATCTGACTTTATCAGGTAGGTGCTAGCCTGAATTATTTAACTTAGCAAAATGTTCACTTATATATAATACTGCAGTCACCTACAGCGCTTTAGTGAGTACAGGGAACTGTGCTGTGGTAAAACATAAAAAATATAATGAAGAGTTTTTCACGCAGCTGATGCTGATGCTGAGGCTGAGACAAAGCGAATCCTTTGGGAGTAAATAAGATCAACAAAGTACAAAATCAGGTTAACATTTGTAAACACTGCCACCACAAGCTTAGTGTCCCAGGGACAGTTTCCTCTTGGGCAGTCCTCTGGGCGACTGGTGGTACCATACTTCTTATCAAAGCTGAAGATTGGCCAAGCAAGTGCTGTACTGAGGTACAGAATAACAGCAAAGAAGGTGTATATCACTACAAATCGATCAAAGGGGAAGCGCAGAGATGAGGTCCTGCCTGAAACAGTCACTATGATCACTACTACGGTGATTGTGAAGCACAGGCTGTACACCACCACACAGTACTCAGTGGCCATGTGGAGTGTGTACTCACTGTCATGAGCCAGGGCTCCAAAAATAATACAGGCCACAAAGGCTTGGACTACCTTTAATAACCCTGAGACTGTGGCCATATAACCCACCACAGCTCCAGGCTTAGCTCGTGTCAGAAACACCTCAACACCATAAGGAAAGCAGCAGATACAGGAGCAAACTGTCACTGCAATTCGGTAGTACAGGCTTTCGCAGCTCTCATCTTCACACTCACTTTCAATGAAGTAGACCGGATAGACCACTGAGGCTGTGATGTACATGAGTGTGGCCAACATGGCAAAGGCAACTGTGAAGTTATCCCAAGAAATCGGCATACATGCGTGCAGTCTTGTAATGTCCAATGTGAACACCACCAGAGTCACTGCAAAGCAAAAGCACCATACAAACATGCAGAAGGTCCCATAGGAGGCGCTGTAGCCTGCACTGTGGGCCACCAGGGCTATAATGGTGCAGCCCAGAAGCAGTTGGCTCATGCGAGTGAAGCCCAAAGGTGACAGTACGGCCTCTTTGTTGAGGTAGTGTCCTCCGTGAGCGTCCATGATGGCTCTGGTTCAGTCTGAGGAAACTCCTGACTCCGACCGTCTTCAGTGGTGTTCTCTGTGGGCTCCTTTCTCACGGGCCTCACCCTTCCTTGGTTTCTTTTTATACTTGGCCCTTAATTACAAAGTTTTCCTTGAGCTGGCTTTTGTAATTACAGTGTAGCATTCACTTAACTGCATCAGCTTGGTACCTTAGTCCTCCATATTTGCCTTTTTAAAGAAGAGCATTTTATTGTAAATGGATTGATTGCAGTTATCGTAGTTATGGCTTGTGAAAATGTCCCTTTTTTATAATGGTATTTTAAAGTACCTCTGCACTGTGCATTTCCAAAAGTTGAGTCTCCTTTGTTTTCTTGTCTTCCTAAATCATGAATATGTCCAGTGAATATCAAAGATCAGATTGTACTGCATCTCGTTTATATCCAATTCCAACACAACAGGTGCTCCACTTTGTTGTCCTGTCAATCAAACGTCCTGTAGCTCCTTGCAAGTGTTACATGAACAGTTGGAAAATCGGTTTGGTGCCCTCTCTCTTTGTCCTCCTCTGACTGTATGCTTGTCGCTTTTGGGTTTAGTGTCCTTCTCCTTTTGGCTTACAAAAACACACCCTCTCTCATGTCTGCCCCATGTGCAGTGTGTAGATTGGTGGTGGCCGAGCCCAGGGTTACACAGGCCTTGCAGTGCTATAAATAGGGGTCTATATTCCACAGAGGGGTGGGAGGCTGTGTGCATGTGGCCAGCGTCTGAGAGTCGTGTTTCTGGGAGCACCCTGAGTGGCTGACTCAGAGTAGCTTCAAGAGAGAAACTGGCATTTATACCCAGTATAATGACAGGGAGGCAGGCTAAGACTTCCATTAGAGGAATAAATTACACACAAGTCCACTGCCATGATTATACTTGAGAGATGACAGAATTGGATTGGAGACATGAGTTGGAAGTTGAAAAAGATTAGTAGTTTCATACAGTACCTTAATCTGTGACACTAGTATGCTTTCCCCCTTTGTTTTTTTTTGTGTGTGTTCTATGTATTTGTTCTGGTGGAGGGTAGTCTAGCTGCTTGTATCCTTGGATACAATCACATTCTTTAGCCTGGAATTTTGCACAATATGGTATTTAATGTCTCTTCATGGAGATAAGCACTTGATGCCACCAGACCAAGCTGTATGACAGATATGTGAAAAGGCAAGCCCTCTTATAGTAAGAATGCATGTTTTTCAGGCACTTGAATATGATTAGTTTAATGCCATTGTGGAAGATTGCAGGCAAAGCTATAACATGTCTATGGAGACAAGCAGGTGACCCACACCAGAAAAGTTGACAGGCATGACAAGTATGTTATACCTGACAAACTTCTAATTTTATTTTACCCAAAATATATAATTTTAAATAATTACAAAGTCAATTTGTACAGTACCCTATTCACACTGAAGTGTTCAAATGCATATTCTTTTGTCAGCTGATTGCCCTCCCCCAAAAAAACACAAAATAGCGTCCTCTGTTGGAGACCGATAGCCAATGTGCTAAATAAGACGGATATCAGCCAGTATATATTGGTCTATCTCTAGGCTGATGCCCACAAACATGAAAGTTCTTCTACTAAAATCGTGATGAATAACAACATTTCACTAGTCATTTATGCACTGTATATTCTTCAATAAGGTTGATACAAACACATGCAGTCAACACAGTTAACAAGCAGCAATATATTTACAATTTACAGAATCAATTCTCTGTGAAAATAGCAATTATAAATATGATTTACACAACAAAATAAATATGTAAATTACCAATGTAACGTTTTACTGTTAGAATATGTTACAGAATAAAATTACAAATATTCATTCCTTTCCTTCGAGCATGGATGATAGAGGTCTTAAAAATATTACATACAAATATCATTATATTATCTGTATTATGAAATATAAGGGGTTACTATATTGTACGCTTACAGAAACCTATACAATATACACAAATGTCACCCTTTAAATGTCCATTGCATTGATATGACTGTGGACCCTGTTTGTAGAAATAGGTGCTTAGAGGTATAAGAAGCGAGATTGTACTGGCACCATGCTCAAGAAGGCCCTTAGTACCATAAATTAAAGTGTGTAATCTTCACTATGGTGCCTTGTGATTGGTTTTCATATTATATATTACCTTAATATAGAAGTATAAATTAATATGTTAAGTGTAATAGTACATCATTTAGATTCAGTTCTGGTAATTAGGTTATGTTAGTTGGAACTCTGTTTTGTCCCTCTGTAATCCAGTGCTTTTCTCACCTCATCATACTAGGCCCATGTGTCCTTTGGATTCTGAAACTGTGATGAGATGTAAGTAATATACTCAGTTTAACTAAACCTATTTTTCATATGGTCTAACATTCTCTATAATTACTACATATTGTAGACAGCATCCTTAAATCACACACCTTTTCTTCTTCTTACAAACTGACAATGGCTTAAGATTATCTAAACCAAAAAAAACCCAAAAAAACATTATATATTAAAATATAAATATCCTTAAAACTGGATTACATTCAAACCTTTCTGTTTTTTTAACAAAGCACATAATTTATATTGTGTGTAGCAGAAAGTTGTGCTTTGTCACTGCAATATCTCATGGCTAGACTTGTTGCCAGTCGTGAGGAGCCATACCAAAAAACAAAACAAAGCAAAACGAACAAAAAAAACAAATAAAATGTGATGATAATGAGGTCAGTTAGGATTAAGCCAATAAAAGAATAGTTTTGACAAAAAGTTGGAGGTATCAGTTATAAAAACTGGCCATGAAGACCAGCGAGCCCTCTGCGGACTTAGCTTCAGGAAACTGTTTTTATGTTTTCGTTTTAGCTGCCACTGCTGAGCATCCCCAGAAGTTTACTGGGATCCATGCCCTGTTGCTGAGCCATCTTCTGCACGTCGAAGCCCATATGCATAAGGAACTGGATGACATTCATCTCCTGCCCAGTGAACTGGTCTCTGATGGTGGGACAGGTGGGATTACAGTGAGGCCATGGGCAGCTGTCAATCAAATGCACAGGACATCCTTTGGGTGGAGCCTTGTTGTTCCGGTGGTCCTGGAGGCTACGGTCCCAGCAATGCAGAGCGCGGGGCAGAGAAGTTCCTTTCACTTGTATGTCTATCCAGTACCTGCATTATGACACAAGAGGGCGCTGTCACTTCACATGTGTAAGGCTTTCCAAGGTCAGTATTTTCATTTAATTAGAGACCTAAGATTATCTTTGTTTGTGCCATTTGTTTTACAGTCTTGTAAATAGCATGTTATAATCTAATTTGATTCTCACATAAGGATATAAAATGAAACACATTTTCACCACTAAGTAATTTATACAATTTGTGAAAAAGAAATATTTCACTACTTACGTTCTTGTGATTACTTCATGTGATAGACATGCAGGAGCAAACATCGCCCTAAAACGCAAAAACAACTTGTGTGAAAACTTTTGATTATCCATTGGACAACATACTAATGGATAAAGTTGACCATACGGGACATTATTCAGTGTCTTCCTCAGTTCAATTCCCAGGTTTTGAATGTAACGCCACTGTCCTTCTTGCACAGGTTGGCCTGTCAGCTGAATGTTGTCCACTGTCAGCTGGGCTTCGTCAAACAACCACTGCACCACAAAGACTGGGCCTGGAGAGAAAAAAGTTATATTGCCATAAATGAATTAAATATGTAACATAGACAATATGGGCTCCATGTGTCAACAAGCAAGCTGACATTCTTATGCATGTGTGTTTTACATTGAGATCAAACATACTTTTTATTGATGAGAAGACTCTGTAACCAAAGAAACAGTTCCACTCCTCTCCTTCATAACTTTTTCTGCATCTCTCTGGGACTACTCCTCCCCAGTATCTGAAGGAAGCAACAGAGTCTAAGAATAAATAAAATGCATAACATTTAACCATATTTCCTGCATTGTATTTTTCATGAACCTACTTGATGCCTCGCTTGATGGTCTCGGTTGGGGAACAGCTGACTGTGTCCACGCAGTCAGTGAAGTGGTACTGCTTGTTATCCAGGAACCATCCCGAATCTGCAAGACCACGAACTTGAATAGAAGTATGCCCCAATCCTTCCAAAAGCTCTGCAACACGATCTACGTTCAGCAGAACTCCTGTACCTCCAGCGCTGTGTTTGTAAGTATATGGGTAAGATGATCATTGTAATGTCGTTGGTAAAATAGTAGTACATATATATTGAAATTAAATGGGAGAAATGTGGCAACCTACCTGCTTCCTGCAAGAAGAAGAACCTTTGCATTTTCTAGACCTTTATTTAGGAGGTCCTTTACCACTTCTTGAATAATAAGAGATCCCATAAAAGCATAGCCACTTTGTTCTGTTTTGGCCGAGGCACCACTCCACACATCGCTTGAGCAGTATGGAATAAATCTGTACAAACAACATAAAAATACTATGTTAAAAGTCTGTTAGAATTGTGTCGACTTTAATAAGCACACTGACTTAGACTTACACCATGTTTGCGTTCCACCAATGAGGGTTTTCCTCCGGGAGTGGAGACAGGATTCCTGTACCTAGAGCCACAGATTGACATGTATTATTAGTATTGTGGCACTCCCAGACACATCCTCTTCCTCCTCATCATCATTACAACATGGATTACAGTTATTACGCTGCAGGGCTGAGGGAGGTGTATCCTTTTCTACAGCAGCGGGCGCCAGGTAGTGGTATTGCTGTGGCATTATAACTGGGTATGGGAGATTAACATGTATAGTCCCTTTAATTAACAGCACATTAAAGTCATATCTGGGTGCTTATTTCACCACACTAGTCAGGATTTACTAACCCAATGAACAGAGTGAGTGTTCACCTGTTTTAGTTTGGGGCCACTTTGAGGAGCTCATCAGTCTCCTCATGGTCTCATACCGACTGTCACAGTTTTCTTTGTTGAAGCAGTACCATCCACCTGAACAAAAATAATGCAGATTTACATTTAGATGTAAAAATATCATTCATTTTTATTATTCTTTTTTTTTTCTAACCTTCTAAAAATATCAGCCATCGTCTGCTTCCACGAGATTCTTTCAAGTAATATCTACAAGAGACAAAAGGGTAAACTACAGTAGGTGTAGGAGATATTCATACAGGAAAATACATGACAAAGATGAATCTTGAGTCATAATGTAAAGACTCTGAGTTTTGTAATAGATAGTGTAAGTTTAAAATGATATGCAAATTATTATGTATGTCTACACAGATTAAGTCAAAGAGCACTATTGCTGCAAAAATAAATTACGTTATACAGGTCATCTAGGAAGGGTTAATGTGCTGACTGTGTTTCCTCCAACTTGAATGATGTGACTTAGGTGGCTGCCAAATATGAGCGACCTTTAACAAAGTACATGTGTTATGTCTGAGCCTCTTTGAAAGACTTCTGTTATTGCACATTAGAATTTATGAAGCATTAAAAAGACATTGATTTTTTTCACAGTTGGAGAGCCAGTATTGATGACGTTTGGTCATAAAGACCATTTTTATTTGACTGTGGTGACTTCATCTATGGAGATCGTTACTGTCCCCCTGGATTAGCAATGAATGCTATGAATGAAGTCGCCATCTGCCAGGAACTGGGTGCCTCAGAACATCCAAGAGCTTTCACAGGCCAGCACTTTGGGATTTAGAAGGAATTAGTCCACTCACTAATTCCACATGCATTTTAATGCATTTACGACCATTATCAAAGAATACATTCAGAGCTTGACTTGCATTAATGCTATAATGTACCAGAAGGAATGCCTATTTAATTTACATACTACTTTGTAAAGATAGATCAATACACGTTTAAGATGTTTAATCGTCTCCTACAACAAATAATTTTATCAAAATTTCAAATTTTGCTCGGTGTAAAATATGTAACATAGATTATCACACTGCTTCAGTGGAAGAACACGGTTGATCCTAAAATGCTTTATTAAGTTTTCTCGTTTGATCTGGTGTTTTCAACATTTTATATCCGCCGTATTAGCACAGACTGCAAACTTTTTTACGTTTGTCATGTACCTTGAGTTTATGTGTCAAACGCTGAAGCATTACCCTAGCTGCGAACAGGTGTTCCTAAACTTGAGAAGGCTCCACGTACCCTGCAGGGCTTCCATCGTTGCAAGTGACTGATGTATTTTCCAAAAGATTTAACTTCATGTCGTAGTCGAGCTTTTGCGCAGAGCAAGGGTAGAGGGACTGCGCCAGGTTCTTCACTTGCGTCATGAAGTTATCCATGTTCTCTTCAACTGCGGTGAAATCCAGCGGGAAGCTCTCGGTGGCCTCCCCTCGGTCCGCGCGGTAAGTGGGAGGCGGTGATGAGCGACGCGGTTGTGGGTTGCGGCCACCACGGAACCTCCGTGCGCAAAAAGCTCCGGACTGCATCAGTACCAGCATCAGCACAGAAGACGAAAGCACTCTAAAGGCTGTCATTGGGTTGGCTTTTGGCATCGTTCTCCCAGCTGCTTCACAAATGTGTAAACAGGTTGAATTGCGCACGGTTTTGGATAACACTTATCCGTTCCCCAAAACGCACCAGGTCGATTTTAGTCCTAAGTGATATGTGTCCCGTAACTGTCGCTCGTCCAAGTCATGCGCTGCAAAACAGAGCACGCACGAGCCAGAAAGACAACACTCGTGCCATGCGCTTGTATTTTTTGTATTTTATTCAAACTTTCCCCCCTCGTTTGTCCTCCCAGCCAATCGCTGGAGCGGGGCAGGACTCAGGCAATGATCGAGCGTGGCAGACGTCCCCTATCCATCTACCCCCTCTGAATTTATAGTGGGAAAAAAGTCCGTGCGTTGGGTCCTTTTGATCCACGTTTTTTCATTTGATGTGGTGGCTTTTATTGGCATTGAAATTGCCATTTCCCACTCGGCCACAAATTTATGAAGTGAGAATACGCATCTTGTTACACACTTGCTCTGAAATCAAGCGAAAATAATGCACTACAGCATAGAGTTTAGTTTGTCTTTTTCAAGTGTATTATCTTGGAATTTAGCCTCTAAACAATATTGTGAACTCTCATAGGCTTATCCATTAGCTAGTGATTGCCTGAGCTGCTTGTGTATGTTTAAGAAAGAACTTCTTTTTTTTTTTTTTATTCATGCAGGGCCTCCTGAGATCAAAGCAACCATCACTCTTTTTCTCCAGTCTCTCCTCCCTCCCACTGCTGCCTCTTCCAAAGTCTTTTGCTCTACTGTAGGCTATATTTTAAGCCAAACTGAGCATCCTAATGTGAAGCCAGCTTTCTAGTTTGAAAATGAACAGAATTTGCAGACACAATAGCTTTTGAAGATAGTTAAATAACAATTTAACAAAAGTGGTCATCTAAAGAATGTTATGCCCTTTTAAAGACATAACTGTGTCCAAACTAGGTAGAGCCCCATGCTTAATCAGCTTGCCTGAAGGATGTTGAAGTGCTGTGAGCCAGGTAAGATGGATATGAAGTCACCAGCACTGATGGTATTCATTGAAAACTTCAAACAGATGCTTGTATAGATTAAAACATGTGGTAGGGCCCGCAAGCAGAGGCTCTGCATATCGAGCATTGAACCTATAGTCACTTTGACCCATACATACCTCCCTGTTTTATCACACATCATTTCCAAAAATGTAACCCTTAAATCACTCTCAGATGGATGCTAGCTTCTGGCACCCTCACTACAGTGGGGAGATGCTCTGACTCTGCATCAGAGTGTCCTATTAAGCAAGAGCATTTAGGTGAGATGATGACTGAGACTGAGGATTAAAGTGTAATAGCATTTTACACTTGTTGAATTGCCCCATGAAACCATCTATGCATCTAACAGAACAAAGAGCTGCTTTGGTACAACCTCCACTGTTGGGCATAATTACTCCAAAAATATCAAAATTTTGCACATCTGCAAGTCTAACAAATGTATTTATACCTGCTACTACTAATACAAAATGACCCTGTATGTCATTTAGCTGTGAGTTTTGCAGTAGATCATGAGTCTCAGATGAAATCAAATGCAACTGCAACCTTGGAGGAACCTGTTCTTTTCTTCCATTAAGTCTTTATTCATCTCCATTAATAAAGCAGCTTCAGCCTTGCTGGTCTCAATGGATTAATCCTAGAATTGGGTCATTTCAAAATGACCCAGCTGTTCTGATGGCGTCCCCCCAAAAGTGCCCCCTTTGCCCCCTCTAGCCCCCCTCACCACTCCAGGCCTCCTGTGAAAGTCAAAGCCTGTCTTTCATCTCCGATCAGTTGCATGTGCCCTCTCAGATCCACAGGTTTTACTGCTTAAGTCCAGGCTGGCAGCATTGATCATGTGACCATTCGCCTGCCTGATACATCAGAGCTGTGTCAGTTCTGCTCACACATTCCCCTCTTCCCATCTCTCTCCTTGTGCCTGTTAGTTTTGATTCGCACATGCTTTTGTCCAGGGTCCATCCACGATCATCAAATCCTGCAAGTTGGAACTGTTAGGTCAGGTTACATCAAAGAGATCAGGAGGGATCAGCCTCTTGAAAGGGACAGGCTCTGGCTCACATCATCAGAAACAGGTGGAGGTCCTCATTGGAAGAACAAAGCAAAGATCACCATCCATAAAACTTTTATATATCATCGAAAACTTTCTTTTAAATTCCTGAAAATTGCCACCCTAAGAGGAGCGTGCACAGTAGACAGTCAAAGCCTAAAACATATGAGATCAGGTTAGGGATTGGGATGGCTGAAACGCAGCTGTAAATCCCATAAAGGTCACAATAGCAAAGCCTCAGACTTAGTGGTATTATGCCACAAAGTGTTTAAGTGTGGAAATCTGCTAAAAGCCTGGGCAAAAGGGGATCCCGAAGACTGCATAATGCAGTCCAGGTGATATGAATTAGAACGAAGAATTGTGGTCTTAGTTCACTTGTTTTATTTATTTATTTTTATTTCATTTTATTTTTTTCTGAAATCATATTGAAATGTATTTATCATTTAGAGCTTTACCTAACCATTATAGAACATTTGTGACCTAAAGTACTTTATCTCACTATACATTTTTTGTCCAAATATGGCACTGTTTATTATAAATTGTTAGTAGCTTTTTTTAAGTTTGATTATTTCTTTATCCTGTCTATGCTTATAGTAGAGCATTTTATTCCATTGAAAATCCACAGCTTCTGTTTTCTGTCACGTTAAGACAAATCTCCCAGAGCAGGCCTTTCTTCTTAATTTCATGTCATTCTGAGCCTATTGTTTAAAACCCCAAACAAGAAGCCTCAAACAAGGTCTTTTGGGTGTTAGCATGCCATTGCAGTGCCCCGCTTTTATGTGCCTGTTCCATTTGATATTTTCCAGGGAATCTGTAAACAGCCTTGATCCTGACTTAAGTCAAGAGGTGCCACCGAAGCCCATGGATGTAAAAGGTCGGTGCTTGAGAGAGAGCAAGGAGCCGCATGAAGACATCTGTCCAGCAGGCTCTCATTTCGTAAGGCCGTCTATTGGTTACAGATGATGCCTTGTTTGATAAAAATGAACTCTTTCAAGATAGGACATAGCTTTTGCATTTGGGGTCTCTCTGGCACCAGGGGGGAACCAAATATTCCTACTATTTCTAGTCAGCTGTTTACCCTTTCATCTGTAGTGATTGCTGAAAATAAGCACAGGGAAGGGTTGTGTATTTAAAGAGTTTAATAGAATGCCAGAGGATGCAAGAGAAGTGCGTGACCTTTAGGAAGTACCTTTTTGTTCTCATTTAGAAGTTTTCCATTCGTGCCATGTCTGAATCATCATGCACAGAGCTACCATGCTATGTAGCAAAAGAGTAAGGGAGCAGAGCCAATTACTATACTAAACCTGCTATTATTACCAACAGAAAGGCGACAGTCATCTTTCCTTTGCATCTCAGAGGAGACGAGAGGAGAATGAATCCTTGGAAGTTTATGTCTCAGATTTGCCAAAGGACACGGAAAAGCCCTTATTACAGGTCATGACAGTATAGAGCTACAATGCATTATTCATTCTGTCCTGTAGCCCTATTTGAAATCCACACCCTGCTGTAAAACATAGTCATTAGTCTTTTTTATTTTTTATTTTGACAATATATCGTACAGTAGAAAATATGACTAAAGGGATTAGGGCTAGTTTAAAGATTTAACCATCTAAATTTAATCTGGAAAATCAGTCGTCATGGTAAACCCCCACCTACTACTATGAAAGCCTTGTCATGTCATGAAGTCTACTTGATGAATAATGACACACTCTTAGCACCAATAAGCCATCTCCACTTTTCCTCTGAATGGGGAAAGGGAGCTCCTGTAATTGAAGAAGACAATAGTGAGTGCCAGTCGGTTGGTCTGGCCTCTACTACCTGCTTTGATGTCATATTTTGGTCTATAGTGGGCTGTGGCAAAGAGACACCCATCGTCGCCAACTGTCTGACAGGCTGCCTTTCATCATAATGACATCACTTGTTACTTAATTATTTTCCATGGCTTCTTCCAGGCCTGGGAGTTTTCACCCAGGAATCTGAAATCATCATATCCACATTTACACCCATAGTTAAGAACGGTGCTGTGGTGTACCATTTATTTTCAAATCTGCATACACTAAATGTCACTTCAAAGGACTGAGAATATTCATGTTGGCTTTTATGCTGGATACCACTTAAATATGGTGGATTAGGGCCCATTTCTCAGTAATCATACATTTGCTGCCCCTCTCAAACATGGACTTTAAAAATAGTCTTTTTTTCAACCATGTTCATCACTTATGTGATCAATACACTATATATATATATATATATATATATATATATATATATATATATATATATATATATATATATATATATATACACACACACACACACACACACAAGCAGGTGTATTGAATTTGATCCTGAGATTGGTTCATACACTCAATTTTATTCATATCATTAAAGATATGCATGAGTACATCTCTCTAAATTGGCTTTATTCAATAAACAGTGAAGGGTTGAAAGTATAAATGCAAATGAAGCAACTTTTCCATAGACCTTTGGCTCCAGGATATGTCAGAGGGCTGACATTTTACATCTAAAACCTTTTAATCACTGGCTGTTGTCCAAGGTGTTTCTCGTCCTTCTAGGTCAAAATGAGTTTGAACTGACTAACAATGGCAGTTAAAAATTTAATAATCTTTTTTATCTTCCACATTCACAGGATGGCCTCCTGTCCTCACCTGTTGGTCAGATGCTGCCCACATCACACAGTCTAGTCTGGGATCAGGAGGTGTCTGCGGGCTCCTGACCATCCCCTGACTGGAAACTGACGACGAGGTCTTTCAAAGGATCGCTGTCTGTGTTTGTTTATATTCAGAGAGGATGTCCAGATTGGCTGCATTTCATTGGAGATTGAGGTAAAATAGACACTACATACCTCTTTGAAGTATAGAGATGTACACAAAGATGCACACAAAAGACACTGTCAATGTATATGGTGGGAATGAGAATTAACAAATGAAATCTTTGTTTTTGAGGTCACGTTGTGGTTGGCTTGTGGAAACATTTATTCAAAACAAGGTACTATATCCATTTGGGAATATGGTGAGCCTCACCCTCTTTCCTTTCTCCTGTGGCCGGAAGATAGTGGTCATTTATGGGAAGACAGAAGTGTTAGTCAGGTTTTACTCACAAGTACAAAAGCTATCAGAAGAATACCACATCTCATGTTTGTTGATGACTAAGGAGCGCATAACTTCTATGCCTTTGATCGCTTCATGTCCTTGGTATCTGCCTAACATGGTTTTGGTTAGTCAATGAGCTGCTTTTGTGATGAGGCAAAAGTTGTAGTAAATAATGTTGTAATTGCTAAGTAGTAATGGAGTGGAGAATAATTAGGAGTGTATAAAACCAATAGAAGAAATTCCTTCAGCGTGAATGCCCTCACATCTGGATGACAGGTGCAGCCCCTAATTCTAGTGTGCAACAACTTTCTCTCTAATTAACTTATTGAAGTGAGAGTGGAGTTAAAAGAGTTTGGTGTGAGTTAACCATAAGAAAAAGGTCTGTTTATCCTTGTAAAAAGCATACTCACACCAGGCAGGTACAAGTAATAGTGAACAACTGTAATACAACTGTGAAGCGTAACCTGTTCCCTTTGAAAACCAGATGAACATCGGCCGGGTCTCACACAAGTCATTACACCTTCAAAGGTAATTAACACATGGCTTTTGTTTGGACCCTATGAGCCCCAGATTATGTAGGTACAGATGGTCAGGGGAATGGATGACAGATACGAAGAGCAAGGTGTGCTGGGATGTGCTTTCATGTCAGCAGGAAGTGCTTGACCTCTGACCCCTGCGTGACCTCAAATCGCGGCTGTCAACACCACTTCCTTGAGCGGCCTGTAAAGATTAACATGTGGTCAGAGACAGGAGGCCTCCAGAGCTCCGGGTGATGAGCAAAGTGTGTCAGCTGGCAGGTCCCAAAACAGTCACTGGGTTGGCATGGCACCCGTACAATGTTGTGTTAGCCTGCTGCATGTACAGGTAAATAACCCCAATTTATTTGTAATCCAGCACTGGTGGTCTATATTTTGGCCAGTCCCAAGCAGAGTTAGATTTGAAAATGCTTCTAATGTATACATTTGCAGCTCAAAACAAGAGATTTCAGTTATCAAACTTAGGCCTGTCACAATAATAACTATATCGATTTCAATATATGAAAAATGGAAAAAAAAAATTTGGGAGGGGGGAGTCAGTATTTATCACGTTTGCATTTCTTTGCCCTAAAGGGAAATTTTTGGTTATTTTTGGGCAAAACCAATTATAATTAAGACACTAAAAGTTGAATACATAAGTTCTATGACTCATTACAGATGGAAACTAGAATGTAGTTTTAGAATTGTTTTTGTGTTTTCAGTCTTCTTTAGAGTTATTGTGTCAGTGACATAAATTAATTTCAGTATTATCATTTATTGTCTATATTTACTTCAATATGTTGTACTTCAGAATTTGTTATCATGACAGGCTTAAGCATAATTTCACTAATATCAGATACAATCCTTGTTTTGTTTGCCCAGTGATTCAATTGGTTTAGACATTGAAGCTGGTATCTTGGCTGTGGCCTGTTAAACATTAAATAATCTCTTTTTAAAAAATCAAATAAGTTTAGCTTGTGATATTGTTTTACAATGTCCATTCTAACATAATTATTTTAAAAGCAATTTAAAAGGACAAAACTGTAATATCAGGATTAAACATTTTACATAAGATTTGACAGGAAAATATGATCAGAATTACAAAATATATTTAGAATCTGTCACATGTATATTATTTCTGAAGTTATTTGCTATTTTGCTGCAGTTACAAACATCAACCAAAAACCCCACTCCTCTCTACAGTTAAATACGAGCGATCTGGAGCAGACACTTGGACGTGTGGGTCAGGAGTCTGTCTCAGGAGAGTGTTTGATGATGGCGTTTTATTGTTTCAGAAGGTCAAGATCTTCAAAGCTGGCCCTCTGTTCTCTGCGGGGCGTCCGGGCAGCAGCTGTCCGAGTACACTCCGCTTTGTGTTTTTATATGAGAAGAGGGCTTGGTGAGGCGCACTCCCACAAGAAATGTTTTTACTGGGGGGTAGGCACTCAGCGGACGCCGTAATATTGTTGTTTTGCCCTTTTGTGCAGATGAGTGCTGCTGAGTGTGTGAATGGGACACCACAGCTCTTATGTCGGAGTAGAGTGGAGCTGTCACAATACTAAAACTTGATTTTTGTTTTACGAAAAACCTTGTAAATTACATACGTTCACATACAAGTCCTATACAGTGAGCCGCTTGTCTCCTTTTCTCCTCCTTATTCCTCAGAGCTTAATCACAACTGTATAAATAATTTTTATATCATTTTAAATCTGATAATATATTTTTTATTTTCCCATGTGGTATTACTACGTACTGTTATTAAGTTTTTTTTTATTAATACTTGCTTAAATGAGTCACTAATTTTGATTCTAGCTTTAGTATTGCTTAGTATCTTTTTTTTTTCTTTTCTTTTTTTTTTTTTTAAACAAATTAATAAATTTTTATGTTCTTGCTTCTACTACCTGCCCAAGTCAGACACCATATGTGTAGTGCTTGTGCCAACATTAAGCTCTTAAGTGAGACTAAAATCAATATGCAAATCATTAGATGCTAAGTGTATCATTGAGTACACCTTATTCTCTAATAAAAATTGATGAATTTGTCTGGTATGCTGGAATTTCATTTGCTTTGGCAAGAAGAGAGATAAAGTACATAGTTCTGACTTTTTTGACAGTACATCAAGTTCATTTTGGGATAACCTAGCAACTTTTCTTCACAATAACTTTCTTGTCGACGCAGCTTGGAAGTTTAAAAATCAAAGAACTTCAAAGGGCATGTGCAAATATGGATGAATTAGGCAAGATGGCTGCCATCCCTCATTCTGTTTACTCTATAAAAGGACGCGGTGCCACATCGTTCCATTTTGAGAATGAAACTTCAAACTATAAAAGTGACGCACAAAGTAAAATAGGAACACTTCAGAATTGCAACTTGCATCTACCTCAAATTCAAAAGGGAGAAGATTTATTATTTGTTGCAATACACAATATAATGGGCCTACAGGGACACACACGCAGTTGGGTAAACCTTGATACTCCCGATTTGGAAAAGTTCACACAGTGTTTCTTTGACCTCTTGGACCCTTTGGACTGACCACCCTGAAATGCTGACTTTTCCCGGGCTTGCTGTGATGCTGCTCCACCCGCGGCCTTCATTCATGACAGGATGTCCTTCTCCTTTGCCCCCACCTGTTTTCACTCCAGTCTGCTCACTCGGGTTTTCCACAAGTGGCCATGCATTTCATCTGCGCGTTTTGTAGCGCTGTAGACTTGTTGAAGGCCAGCAGTGGCTCAGTGGTAGAGTTTGCCCTCTAACCCAAAGGTCAGTAGCTTCTTTCATTGTATAGCATGCTGTAAATGTTGTCACAGAACCCCAAAATGTAGTAAGATGGCTCAACCAGAGGAACAAAACAATGTTATTTTTTAAACATTTCTTTCCTTTAATCCTTATCCTCTTGAAAGGCACAACAATGATGTCAAACTGATTAAGAAGAATTGCCAAACTTTGGTTTGACTTGTTCTTTGTCTTGTTCATTAGTTTTTGGGGGTTCCATTGTCTAAAAAGATTGCTTGCATGCCATAATGCTCCTTTCTTGTTCTAAAACAACTAAAGATGTCAGACATCAAAGCTGCTCTTTGGTTAATAAAGGAAGACCTCAAATATCTTCCATTTGGTTTGACATGGTCTTGGGTTTCACCAAACCAAGAAAAACAAGGGCAGACTAAAATGATGCTATTTTGTTTGTTGTTGCTGGCTCTTTAAGATAAAGAGGTTAGACAGTGCAACTTGAGTCTTATCTTTGATCATTTTAGTTGTAATTATTCAAAGATAGTCATGTCTGTACCCCTCTTTAAAACACTCCTCTGCCCTCACTGTCCCCTCTCCTCCAGCCTGATTATGACAGCCAGTCCTTTGGCTGAAACAACAGTTTGTCAAAAGCACCCACTCCCTTTGAAGTCCATGTCCGTCAGTTGTGTTTCGATCTTGAGCTGAGCGTTGGCCCTTGACCCCTGGTGATTACTTCCGTGGTGCAGCCAAGCAGAGATAACTGTAAAAGTGAGCCTTTGATATTCACTTAAGAGAAAAGTCTGGAGTCTTTAGGGAAGTACAACAGCTTGTCTGCCCCACATACACACACACCCCCACATACATAGATACATACATACATACATACATACATACATACATACATACATACACCTTACACCTTACACCTACTGCTACTGGTAATAAACTATTTGAGAAAAAATCAAAAACTGTTCAACACCACTACAGCTACACATACTTGTACTTACAGTAAACACACATTTGAAAAGTTAGCAGTGCCTTTGTGTAGGACTAATTGGTACACCTCTTAATCTGAACAATCCTACTGAAATATTTTGTAAAGGATTCATTTGAATTTAAAGCTGCATTAGCCAGGCCAATGTTTTACCTGGTAAAATGTAAAAACGTAAAATAAAAATGTATAAAAATTCCCCAAGTGTTCCCTTATGTAAATTCTGTTTTTTGCTCTAAATGAAAAATTTGTTAGAACTAGAAATATGTTAGACAGGCGAAAATGCCTACTTCCTGCTTTCATTGTTTAGACTTTAACAACAGCAGTTGTAACATTCATATTTTCTAAACATACTGGGGTTCTAAACATACAGGGTTACAGTTTCCCTCAACAAAATGTTATCTCAGCAACATTCAGTTTTATATTCAAAACTGAAATTGTGAACTGATGTGAAACTTTCTGAATGATATGACTACCTGAGCCCCTGTTCAGATACATGTTTGCATCGAATGATGAAACTAAACCAAGTTTCCAAAAATGTGCTAAAACATTTGAAAAAAAAAACAAAAAAAATCTTTTATTGGCTTGTCTCTCTACAAAGTGTGCTGACACGTTCCACAGAGCCACACACAGACGTGAGAGACAAATGAAGATGAGCAGATGAGTTTGTGAAGTCCACTGACTCTCTTTCTATCCGCTGCTTAAATTATGGCCCTTCTTATTTCACTCTATACTTGCAGTAGGCTGTGGTATTCTCTCCAAAGAAAAGGACATGTCTAAAGAGTGGTGTGCCGGACTGGATGTCAATTTCCAGCTCAGAATAGTAAACACAAAGCCTTGTAATTAGCGCTGTTCTTTTGTCATCATTACCTCTAATTTCTTTTTCAGCACAACGTGAAAAGCCTGAATCAAAGGAAGCCGTGGAATGTGTTGGGGTAAAAATGAACATGAAATGAATGACGACTGCTTAGAGGGCTCTGACTGTGTGTGTCATTGCTCTTTTTAGACCCAAATAACACAGCAGGTTTGTCAAGCTAAGGAGAATACCACAGTGTCACATGTGAGTAGATCAAATGTGCATAACAAAGTGATCTTTGAGCTCCCTTTTCACACACACATGCTTTTTTGTAAACCCTGAAAGGTCCTAAATTTACTTCTGTGACCTTTTCGCTATGATACAACGTTGTTACTGCATCAAAAACATACCCGGTGTTATGTTTTGTTTCAATCAAACTGTTTGAATAACCTTTTATTATTAGTCTGGCTACATCTCCAAAGCTTAAAATGCTCAATTCCACATTGTGATGTCATGAAGCAGTAGTTTTTATGTTAACAGCTACGTTTTACCTCTTGTTCTGTAGGGAAGGCATTTAAAAACAAAGTGGTGCACTTCCTGTATTACCGCATGACAACAACCGCATGAGTGTTTTCAGTTTGAGAGAAGAACTGTGAAGAAATATGCAGGGTTTGTGTGTTAAACATGTGTGAATGAAACAAAACACAACTTTGGGTATGTTTTTGATGAGGAAACAACATGACATGGCAAGGATCTGAAAATATTGTAATATGGGGCCTTTAAATTTTCGTGGCAGTGTACATGGTAGTTCTGACCTAAAAATGCTTCTATTGTGTTTTTATTTATGTTGTACAGTTGTTCTATCAGCCATAACATATTAGCATTTCTATGTTGTTACATCTACATCACTGAACTATACCCAAAAGATTTTATTTTATTTTTTTCCAGGATACCTTGCCTACCAGTTTATCTATTTATGTTGGCTATGTTCTTCTTTTTTTTTTTTTTCCTTAAGTATTTCATCATTTTTTTTATTTTAGCCTGGAATTTGTGACAGGGCTCTTACTAATACCTATAATAAAATACTCCTGACGCACATAAAAGCATGGCTTGATAAACCTTTCAAATCTTAATTTAACATAATGTTATTTCAGACAGTCACCTCAGGGAGGAGCTGCTACTGCCCAGGATGACACTGCTCTGTCACCTGTCACCTCCTCACTCTTTGTAAGTCCCATCTATGTATATAAAAAAGATCATGTGGCATTACAGCGTTCTTAAGAGAATAGTTAATAGTTAAAAGGAGTGAATTCTTGCACTTTATCAGTCAATGTTTCTACCTGGTTTATGGTCAGTGTCGTCATAATTACCAGGCCAAAACACATAAAAAGTTTAGTGTCTTCTCTGTCACCATAATGAACTAAGCCACATGATAACCAGAATATGGCAAATTTGTAGACTAAATCCTCAGCAAATAATAAAACCACTTAATCGTCCATAGAGCTATAAACAGTCCCTGCCCTCCATCTGAAATTATGACATCAACTTCTGAAACATCATGAATACAATCTTTTTGATTTGTGCTGTCTGCCCCTCCACTTTTCAGTTTAAGAGTAATAATTACATTGACGTGTTCTTTGATCCAGTGGAAATCCTAAGAGAATAATGTCATGTAATGGATGAGTATCATTGAAGTGACTCCCTGTCTTGTGCCGCTGAACCATAAATAATTTGAGAGCTACCATGGTAACACCTCTCATGTAAACAGTCTCAGCACCAGCGGCCTGCCACTGATCGCTACTTTGTTTAAGGTTAGTGTCGGGGCAGAGGGGACTACTTGAGGAGACGTAACTCTGGAGATTCCTTTCATGTTACGGAAAAGCGATGGACCTCTGTAGTAGTTTATTGCTGGTGTGATTTTTAAAAGCGTCCGTCCAACTCTTTGAAGTGAGAAGTGGTCTGTTTTTCCTCTGCTCTGGTGTCACCACTCCTTTGGTTCATTTCTGCTATTCAGTCTTTTTATTTAATGTTGAAATATGATGAACTGATCCAGCCTGAAAGTTATGGAGATGGGTGTAGAGCAGGTGGTGACATATAGAGACAAAGACACCATTATTGTGACTGATGGAAGTTTTTCAACCTCAAATGACCTCAAACTACGCAGAAAACTCTTGCTAAAATAAGTTATATTTTTATGTTGCAGTGCAGGTCTTTACACTAGTCATTTACAGCCCTATGCGTGTTATGGGCTAAATTTCACATGTTTGTATCTTGCATTGTCATATTGTTCTATTTACAGATGATTTGCCTTCAGCGTGTCTGCTACTACAGTGGAAATAGAAAATGTTGACAGTATAAGATCATGTTATCAATTATGCTGAAAACTGACCCAAAAATAACATTTTACTTTTTCCTTAAATAAATATCTCAGGTTTTGGCAGTATTAACAGAAAATTTGGCTAGTTGTACTTAGTTAATTTAATTTTTAAGTGAGTGAATACTTAACTTTGCTTAAAATATGCCAATGTAAAATTATTTAAAAGAATACTTTTTATAAATATGTTGCGTGCTCCTCCCACTTCTCTCTTTTTTATTTCCACTTGACTCTAAATTGTAAAAAGTCACACAAGTGGTGTTTCCAAGCATTTACATAGGGCACCTTCTACTTTTATTGCATTTGTGTAATTTTAGGATCAGGACTAAAAGGATTTCAAAGAGACATGCCATTGTTGAATTCATTCCAATAAATGCTTGAAAAATATAAATAGTTGTGGGCAGACAGGCTGGTATTGTCTTATGTGGCCGTGTTCATTGTACTAAATATGTCCAAACGTGACAATCTTTGTTGATTTTAATGTAGTGGTAAATTTGTGTTTACACAGAGGATCACCCTTGAATCGAGAGTTCACTGTGTCAAGCGGCCCTATAAACTTCTGTCTCTAATAAAAGTGTCTCGTAGTGGTTTGTTTTTGTCCTCGCTGTTTTTTCTTACTCTACCATCATGATTTTGTATAAGTTTAAGTCTACTTTTAACCCTGTTCTTATTGCTCTGCTCCCAAGAAGGCCAAGTTCAAATTGTATCCTATAGCGTCCAAGTGAGCAGTGGCCAGAGGAGGGTGACCTTTTTATGTATTTGTATAGGGAGCTGTGGCCATGCTGATCATCAAAAAACAACATCAACAGCCCAGCTACAAAAAGGGACTGAAAACATGATACAGTCCACAGTGTTTGAAACGTTAACTAAAGAAAACAAGCTTCCTAATGGTTTTGTATTTATGTATTTTCTTTGCAGGCTTTGAAGTCCAAGCTCTCTTTGCATGCCAGCCCCGGGCGAACTCAGAAAATAATCGTAAGTAACAAAATGTAAAGAATGTAAAGAAACGACACTATCCATTCCAAGAACTAAGAGGTAAAGTGGACACATCTATTGCAGTTTAAAGAGGGAGGTATTTGGAACTTTCTACCATTTTATAATATTGTTCCCTCATCAAAAATATGCTTGAAGAGGTTTTATATGTCATCCATGCATGTTTGACAAATCTCCAGAAATATACAAAAGCACATTACAAAACAATATACTACAGCTTTACAAACCTGATGGGATATGCAGGAGTTTCATTAGTAAAATGCACGCCAATTGTAATGTGATAGTGCTATGAAGGGGGTGTCACTTCTGACTTAACATCAAAAACGTTTTACATTTTCAAAATAATAAAAATGAACATGGTCATCTCAATAAGTTGTGTGTTAGCAGTTAATTAATTATCATATCATGCTATTTTCTATTTTTTTTATAATGATGTTTCCTCATCAAAAATATACCTGGAGTTTTGTTTTGTTTCATTCACACAAACTGCATATTCCCAGTTTGAGTTTGAGTTTTTCTTACTCAAACTCTCAAATGTAAAACACTCTGTTCCACCTTGTGATGTCATGTGGTAATGGAGGAAGTGCTCCTCTGTGTTTTTAAACTCCATACACCTTCACTAGAATCATTTAGAAGATTTCATCCTCAGAACTGCTAGTCTGTACCAAAGTAAAAATAAAAAATAAAAGGTAACTATTAACTTGAATACTACTGCTTTATGACATCACAAGGTGGAACAGAGCACTCAGGCATGTGTAAATAAAACAAAACACAATTCAAGAAGGAGGTAACATAGCTTAAAGCTCACAAGAGTCAATTTTGCTTAAAATAGGACCTTTAATACCCCAAAGAAGTAAAATATACTTTCTTTAAATATGATAAATTGCACAAAGCAATTTTTATCTAAGTTTTTGCTTGTGTGGCAACCATCGAAGACAACTGTTGGCTTTTGGAGTACCACCAGACTTAAACCAGGTCTGAACTGGGGCCAAATTAAGTTTACGACTACACAATTACTATACTAGTTCTAAAGCAAAACCTAAAGAGGACATAAACCAGTATTAAATTGACTCTAAATTTAGCAAATATTTGAACTGCTGAGGAACCCATGTAGGAGTTTATGCATAATCAGTGGCACTTGTTCCACAGTTTGAGAAACACTGCTCAAGGTCTTGTAACGTCATGTTTAAATGAAAATAAATAGCTTTGTCCTTTGTGTATTGTACATAGGATCTCAGTGGAGTAATATGTCATTTACTTGGGGACGACAGAGCTGTGTACATAGAAGATTTCTATTCAAATATACAGACACTCTGCTCATTGTACAACTCCCACGCATTAGATAGTGATTGCACTACGGCCACCCAAGCATTATGTTCATCTCGGAAAATGGTTGGGAAAAGTTAGAAGAGATTAGTATTAATCATAATCAAATATTGTAATTTCACTTCACTTTTTGTAACTAGAGATGGCAGATACATCAAAAAGTAAATACTATCAAAATTTTTGCCCTAGAGATATGCTAAATTTGAATACTGAATATATAATCTATAATTAAAACTATTAAAAGACAACAAAATGAGCTGAGCCTTGTATTAAGTGATAAACAAAGGTATAAAGTGATTTTTCTATACTTAATTTTGTGGTAGCATACATTCACGTTTAGTGTGATACTTGAATCTCAACTATGACGCTTCCAGGCTCATACCTGATGCACTTAAAAATATGTATCATCTGAATTGTATAATGAATAAAATTACCCACCCCTAGTTGCAGTTAGACTTGGAAATGGAAATTACATAGACACAGTAGTTCACACATAACAATATGTTTAGTTTAGTTTAGTCTTTACTTGAAGGGACAATGTACAGAGACATTAAGATCACAAAAACAGAGCTGATCTGCACCAGATTAAATCTAACAGCTAGTTTCCATTTGCAGTCCCTGATTTACAGAATTAATTATACAGTTTAATCACATTCAGCCAACAATAAGAACAATTCACATTGTCCACTCACTGACAAACACTCTCATGTACAACCACATAATAACAAAAAAAAGTTTAGTTCTAACAAAATCCAAAGTAAGTTAAGTGCCAAAACTAGTAAAAGAGTAAAATAAAAAGGATCTTAATGTATAAAAAGGTGGGATTAGGATGAAAATGGCGACTTTGATTTGACATTAGGTTATATATTACATCGCATTAGTAAAAATGTGCCACTTTATCACGGACATTACATACCCAGCTCCAACATCAGTCACTCTGAGTAACTTTGAAGCAAACAAAACCCTTGTGATGTGCATGTCCAGAGCCCAGTGGAGCCCCATCAAAGAGACTGGGACACGCTCATTTAGTGATGAGGACTCGGAGGTCTCTTTTGTGCGTGTTGTTTGCTTTGCCTCTGTGGATGGGATGGTTGTGTGGGTCGGGTTGGGGGGGGCTGGTTGTGGTGTGGAGCTGTCTGTTCATGTGGGACATCTGTGGCTTGCGTGTTCAGTGGAACGGTGTTCTGTTAGTGGAGCTAAACAGGCGCAGTCACGAGCAGCAGCAGACGCCATGGGCACGGGGGGCTTTGTCTCCAAGGCCAACTACACACGCAACTCTTTAGCATAGAACTGTTCACATATTAGGACTTCTTACAGTCTTCAGAAAACATGGATCATAATTGAGATAAAATATTAAAAATAAAAAGATATAGGATGTCCATCTTGTATCTAGTGCATCACAACTTTGCATCCATCATTAACGATCCCATATTACGCAAATAAGATTTCTGTACAATTTAAGCCCTTTTATAATGTTGATACCATCTGAACATACCTGGAGTTGTGTTTTGTTTCACTGATACATATTTGAGTAAGCCTGGTTTATTAGTCTCACCACATCTCTGCTGAAAATGCTCAGTACCTTGTGATGCCATGAAGCAGATTACTTTTATTTCAGTGGAGATTGGCAATTCCAGGGATAAAATTATCCAAATGATTCTAGTGAAGACACATGAAGCTTAAAAACACAGTGAAGCACTTCCTGTATTACCACGTGACATCGCAAGGTGAAACTGTGTTTTCAGTTTGAGAGAAGAACTCAGCCTAAATATTCAGGGTTTGTGTGTTAAACGTGTGTGAATGAAATAAAACACAATGTATGCTTTTGATGAGATCAGAAAATAGCATAATATGGGCCCTTTAAACATTTGTTGATGTAAAGTGAGACAGCATTTGTGATGTAATTTCAACAGCACACTGTGCAGCTTTTCTAGTGGAGGGTATACCACCAGCTTGTCTCCATGGAGATGTTATAGCTTTGCATGGAATGTTCCACAGTACATCACTTACCAGTCTTGCATTTAATCAAATACATGTGTTTATATTGCTCAGACGTAGCTTGAAAAATATGTGATAAGTGTGGGGGTCGCCTTTCCACAGATCTGACCTCTAACTTGGCCTTGTGGCATCACCTGCTTGTCTACATGGAGAATGACATTTGGCAATGATATTTAGTGGAATATTTCAGCAATAAAATCAAGCAGGCTAAACTTAACTTTAAAGATCTGCCTGGTTAGAAATGCATGACTTCATGATGTCTAGCTGTATGTGTTTCTATATAGTACGCTTCATTTAGGTTTGTTGGTATTTGAGAGTATCAGGTAATTAGCAAACACTGGCATGCATACATTGATGTGGTAAATGTCTCATGAAACAAATGTAAGTTGTAAAATGAATTACATAATTTGTACTTTATAAATGACAACAAAATAACAAGACCATATCAGCACACTGTAATTATCAATCTCTCGTGGCTAAAAGCCGGTAGCCACCGAACCCCAGGTTTGTCCTGTGGTGGAGCTGTCCAACACTTTAATGGCTGCCCTTTTATGGCCATTTTATTTTGTTTTTTGTGGAGGCGGCAAATTTCTTTTATCCTCCTCATTGACATTGATCAAACTGTGAGGTGTAAAATGTTCCTGGAGGCTGAGAACAGAACACCTAACTCCCGCTCTTTTAAAAAGCCTGACACAGTGACAGTGTCTGGCTAGTGTTGCCTATGAACAAGTGTCATTTTTAGCAGCGGCGATGCAGAGGAAAGCCTGGGTAGATCAAACTTATCTTAGGCTTTGATGTTTGGAATTTGTTTCATATATTTTATAGTTCTTCCACCAAATGTTTTATCTTTTCCTGCCATCTTTGAAGTACTTTTAATATCCTCATTTTATGTTTTATTACAGCATATCAAAACTGTTTCTTTGGGAAGGAAGTTGCCCATTGAGGATGTGCTCTTAACAACTCAAAAAATGTTAAGAGCTATGTATGTAGCCTGCACTGTTTAAAAAATTACTACAATCACAACTGAACCTGGGTTGCCTGTGCCTTTACCTGCACATAGTTTTTCTCATTCTCAGTATATGAACTGGTCATGCTTCAAGTGAAAGCTCAGAACCTTCAGAGTTCCCTCACTGAGCTGCAGAGGCTGCACTAGCACTGATTCATGAATGGTTGCAGGTGCTGGGGTTTAGGTAGTGACCATTCAGATCAGACAAAGTCTTTTTAGGTTTTAACCAACAGGGTTTCAGGATTAAAACTGGAGGCCCAAATGAGAGACTTACTCGTTTGTGAGGCTCCTTTTGCTTTCTCATTGGATAATCAGCTTGAGAAACCAAGCACCAAAGTATAACATTAAATGGGACATTTCCGGTGTTTTTATGTGTGGGCACACAAATAGGTCATCTTTATGGAATTTAAAATCACATACTGTTCCTTTAAATAGGGTCTAACTCAGACCTTTTCACCAAAAATTACTGTTTCCAAATGTAAAAAAAAAATCTGTGAAACAAACACAATTTTTAAGAAACAGTAAGGTAGTATAGGAGTTTGGACCTGTTCCCTTGAAGGCCAGGTCCACACTATAAGCCTTTTTATGATATGGCATAAAAATAATTCTTTCATCAGGTTACTTTTTAGTAGAGAACACTAACATTAAATTG